CAGATGCCACGACTGAGACGACAACCCAGGACCAGGAGAGTGAAGTATCCGTCACCCCAACGCCCTCACTCAAGCGCCGTGGCGCAAAGCGCGGCCAGTATTCGCCCACCAAGGGTCGATCCATGTCCTCTCCTCTCCGTGAATCTACCTCGATCGATGATATACCCAAGGATGACGTTACTGATTTGGACGCTGCTTCCTCTGCGCCTTCTTCATCTGTCGATATGCCTGTACCTGATGCCATGCCTATGCCTTTGCGACCACGACAAATTCTAGGTCCACGTATGTTCCCTTCCACTGGCAAGCGCCTTTCAACCATTGCTTCGTCGCGGTCAGCGCACTCATCGCAAGCGCCAGCTTCTGATACCATTACAACCATCTCTGAGGAAGCAAGCACCGTTCCCGGAGCACCTGCATCAGAAGTAGGCTCGTACTTGAACCCGGAAACCTCGACTATTATTAGCCGCCAGAGTACCCGTCGCAGGAAGCTTGCCAGCCATGCGGATCTCATATCCGTACTTTCCATGCCCAAGGCAAGCTCAAAGTCCAAGAGTATCGTCTCTGCCCGGAGTATTCGTACTAACAGGAGTCGCCTAGCTACTGCCACTATTGACGACATAATGAAGGAGCTTACTGCTGATGAAGAGAAATATATGCGGGAGCTCCGCACCTTGGTCGATGGTGTTATTCCTGTCCTTCTCAGCTGCGTCCTTTCCAAGTCCGAATCCGCCATCGCAGCTGGCCTGTTCTCTCGCTCTTCCAAGTCAGATCCAAGTGAAGTAACCAAGCCAATCGTTGACATGGGTGTCTGTCTAGAGCGACTCAAGAACTTGCACAAGCGCGTTCCTAAGGAAGACTCCGATGCGCTTGTCTCCTGGGCTCAGAGCGCGCAGCGGGTGTACTCCGACTATATCTCCGCGTGGCGCCTTGGCTTCCAAGACGTTGTAATCAGTCTTGCACCAGCAGATGACGATCCTTTCAAGCCCGCGAAGGTCGTCAATGGACCAGAAGACGGCGCGCCATGGGACGAAGGCATGCCGCGAAACGCTGAAGGATACGTAGTCAACAGCGATGGCGAGCGTGTCGACGTCGCCTATATGCTCAAGCGCCCGCTAGTGCGACTCAAGTATCTCTCCAAGAGTTTGAAGGTATGTTGAGGTAACCTGTCCATGTTAATGCAATGCTAACATCAACGAAGGGTATCAACCACTTGAAACCCTCCGACCGAGTAGAGCAAATCTCAAAGATCTTCCAGGATCTAGTTGCGGCAGCACGCAAGCGGTCGAACGACGAACAAGCCCGCCTCGAAGACGAGGCTGCGGCTAGCGTTGATCCCACTCGCGCCCGTGATCCCCGAAGCCTCGCCCCCCTTGCGGGCGTCCGGGTTGATTCCACGCGTTGCGTGCGAGCCAGAGATCATTTCGATCTCCACCTGTTCCACTCGAGTGGTCAGGAAATGAGTTGTCGCGTTGAGCTCCTGCTCCGCGACAATGCACCAGGCACAGGAGTCGGAGGTGACATACTGTTCTGCGAAGTGGACCCGACAGGACGTTGGTTACTCCTACCACCTGTCCAGCTCAGTAACGCCTCCGCACGAAATGGCGATCTGCAAGGCGAAATAATCGTCATGGTTCGTGGGAAACAAAATGATGGATCAGAATGGAGTGAAGTCATGTCCTTGATATCCGAGGATGAACAGGCTGGTTTCGAGTGGGTGCAAATGCTCGGTCTCAATCCCATCCCACCTCCAATCGAAGAAGTCAGGAAAAACCAGGCTACATCCAACAATGCGCAAAGGCCGGCCAGCAGCCACGGATCGTCTTCCCTCCTTTCAGCCGCAACCCAATCTACACTCCCACAGAAAAGCAGGACACCAAGCCCGCATGAGATTGACATCCCTATTGGCGAGCAACATACTGAAGTATCAAAAGTATGGCACTACGACACCCCCGATAGGCGTAACCAGTCTCGTACCATATCGCCTATCACTCCACCCAGTGGTGATGGCTCTCATATCAATGCATATGATTCAGAGCCCCATACGCCCATAGATGCTATGCAGACCGCCTATCAGCTCTTCAACGATCCTGACAGGACGCCTCGCGGTCTTGACGAGGCAGTACGAGCGGAAGGCACCGGGTCACCTTCGAGCTTGAAACGAACAAGGGCGAAGAGATTATCTAAGAACCCCACTCTTTCCCCACACTCAGCACGGCCGTCTCGCCAGATCACGCTCGAAGATCCGGCAGAGCCAGAGAAGACTAAATCGCCGGTCCAAGAGACTAAGCCACGTCGGAAGTCTACTAAGAAGCGTCCCCAAAAGAGCTACAGTGTCTGGATGCCATCCTCTCAAGTAGATGATTCCGACGAGTCCGACGAATCTTACAGTTCTGAAGAGGACAAGAGCACTGTCAAAGACTCAGAGATCTCACCACCTGGCTCGCCTCCCTCTCCACAGCGTCCACAAGCACATAGGCGAGTGTCCTCCGTTCCCTCGCTGGAATTACCGAGCATCCCAAGACAAAGGAAGTCAAGCCGTCCATCAACACCAACACAAGATGCAGAAGATGAAGAAGACAGTGTTCGGGAGGCTTCAGCCTCTGCACCACCGAAGATGCATGGAAAGAGACACGATATAATTGTCGAAGATATTGTAGAGCCCAAAACAGAGGTCGAGGAGCCACCGCCAACACCACCACACCGATCTTCTAGTCCCGCAACCCCTGTAACCCTCAAGGGAACCAAAACGCCTGTATTCACCCCAACACTACCTGGCTTCAAGAACAAGAGGCGATCATCATCACCCTTGAAGCATGAGTATGAGCCTTCTACCTGCACAGAGGAGTCAAGCGAAAGTGAGGAAGAATCTCCCTCTGAGGATGAGGTGGGCGAGGAAGACGAAGAAAGCCTTACCTCGGAGTCGTCAGAAGATGAACTGGATGACGACGTTCCCATGCCGCTCATGCCAATCGGATACCTTGGGCCACGCGGGTATCCTGGGCGTACATACACCACTGGCAGAGAAACCAGCCGTCCTGCCCCCGCAGAGAAGGTAGAGAAAACCGAGAAGGTTGAAGATGAGACTAAAAAGTTCCCCAAAGTCTCACCTCCCGCATCAATCTACACTCTTCCCAACGGCACTATCACCCCATCGCAATCCGCGTCGAACACGCCATACAGAGCTGTTCCGCAGGGTTCCGGCAAGGCTTCAAAGACCATCGCATCTATCTTCGCCTGGTCTGATAATGGCCGATGGGATAGTTTGCATCCAGACGAATGTAGCATCGTCGTTACGCCAGGCAAGATCGAGGTCTACGAGATCTCGATCAACCATTCTAAGCCTTTCCTGGCCGACGGCGACGAGATCATCACTCCCGAGGGAGGTGCTCCCCTAATTGCGGTTGAGCTTACCCCTCTGGTGCCCTTGCGCAAATCGACGGCCATTGATATCTCCATTCGCTCTCCACCTACCGCAGAGTCGCGCATTAAAGCTGGCAACAACATCATGTTGAGAAGTCGCAACGCAGCTGAGTGCTCGCAACTATATGCCATGATCAACCAATCCCGCATCAACAACCCGACCTACATAGCTCTTCAGAACGCCCGCGGCCCTTACGGACAATCTAGCTGGGCCGAGGCAATGGACCGCCAGAACGCAGCTAGGACAAGCGCTGAGTCTTCTGGTTGGCTAGGTGGCACGTTGGGAAGGAGAAGCAGCTACCGCAAGTCAAGCACACGTGCTGCTTCCATCTCTGCAGCCACTGAATCGTCCGTTGGCACTATGAATTCTGCCCTCCGCTCGGCATTGGGTCGCTTTTCGTTCGGCAAGAGCGGCGTCTTCAGCATCCGCAACTCGACCCTCGGATCTCGTAGTACAGGTTCCTCGTTCGATAACGGCTCCAACTCTCGACCTGGCTCGGGCGCAACTACACCTACGGGCGATGGAATGCGAGCGCCTGGTGCACCAGCTGGCATTACAAACACCAAATGCAGGCTTTACGAGCGAGAATCACTTAAGAAATGGCGCGACATGGGCAGCGCACGGCTAACAATCATGCTGCCCTCACCCAACCCAAGCGAGCCATCGTCACCCATTAACCCACGACAGCGCGCACCTGGCACAAGAGACCACACACAGGAGCGACGCATTCTGCTCACCGGCAAGAAACATGGCGAGACATTGCTTGACGTCACTTTGTCCGAGACATGCTTTGAGCGTGTCGCACGAAGTGGTATTGCTGTTAGCGTATGGGAAGACCACATGAATGAAGACGGTGAGGTGGGTGGTGTAGGCAAGACTGGTGGTGTCTTGGGTGCAAGAGCAAGAGTCTTCATGATACAAATGAAGAGTGAGAGGGAGTGCGCATATTGCTTCAGTCTTCTGGGTAAGCTGAGGTACTAAGCCACAAACATGAGAGGGAGAGAGGAAGGACTGCACCAACAGAACGCAGCAACACACAACACGCATCCGCCATCTCGTCACTACTATCGATTTTGTGCTTTTGTACTGCGAGCAAGCGTGGCGTTCTTTTTCACGATTTACAACGGGCGGTATTTCAAGAGGGCTTTCTGTGATACCAAATTCCCTATACAACTTTCGCTTTGTAATACTGCTTCATGTTCGTTACTTTCCTTGTCCATACTGGTTTTCTTATGCATATGGATGGAGTGTTTTCTTGTCTTTGGGGAATATACACGTGTCTTTTGCGTTTGATACCAGGTGTGTATGTTTGAAATCCTTTGGTTTTTCTGAGTATGGGAGATATATAGGATTAAGGCCGCGTTGGGCGGAATGGGGTGGATAGATTAATGGACAGATGTGTTGTCGAGACTTTGGGTGTTCTTGACTGTGAAGTAAACAGCTGAGGTTGACGACTACGGCGGCTATACCATCACAAAGTCCAACGCCCTCTTCTTCAGCCTAGCAGCACGCGGCGGAGACCAACGAGAAGAGAATGTGGCAGGTCCTAGTTCAACATGTATCACCTCACTCGCTTCATCTACTCAAGATCTTTATCCTTGCATCCTTCTGGTGCAGTCACCGGGTTACACCTTGCAGCTAATCCTCCAGGAAGCCTGGCCACATAGTCCCAGCCCCATCGACTGCTCATGCCCCACGCTGGGAAATCGGTACTGACGATCTGCGCACCGCTCTCGAAAGCACTTTCCCGCATCTCCGTAGTGCGGTTCAGGATGGTATCGAGAGGCACGTCAGCACGAGTTCGGATCAGGTATCCCTTCTTCACAAGACGCTGGATCTCAGCGGTGTCACTCCCACGCGGTTCGTTGTGCTTGATGAATGCAGCATCGGGTGAGCCTTCGAGTGCGTTGGTGAAGACGGTACGGTTCTGAAGTGATCGTGCACCAGTAAGGTAGAGCTCACGAGGCGAATTGGGATCAGTGGGCTTCGGATCGTTGTCGAAGAAGAACATCAGCCGACCGCGCACGTCCTTTAGCTTCGGCCACCCATGCTGCAAGACAGACTGTTCGAGGGTGAGGCCATTCTTACGCACGTCGTCGGGGCGGATGAGCTGTTCCTTGGGGAAAACAGAGAGAATTTCCGCGTCGACGTTCAAGAGGCGTGGAAGCGTCCAGTTTGTCGCTTCACCAGGACAGGCACCGCCTAATTGACATGCTGGCGCATCTGTCTTTAGCTCTAAATCGATGGTAATGGGTACGTGTCTGGGATTCGCATCCGACCAGCTCTTCAACTGCTTGAGGCAGTCAACGAAGGTGTGGCAGACAGAGTCAGGGTCAAAATCTGTGACGTGGAAAACCTGCAGATTCAAAAATACGAAGTCAGTGTACGTCTCACATGCATTTCGTACGGACACAACTTGCCTTGATGCCCGGCTTCTTCAGCACATCCCCGTTGTAAGGTGTGCTTGCATTGGTCAAGTTTGAAAGTGTCCATATTACGGGAGGATAGTATAGGCCGCCCTTCTCATCTGAGTGTAGGTCGAGTTCCAAAGAGCGCACGGATTGGTATTCCAGTTGATTGTCGAGCTCCGCGTGCGAATAGTAGTAATCTTCTGGGGACGGAACATACTTCTCGAATACAGGTCGCTCGGCAAGTGAGACCTCACGATGGTAGGAGTTGTGTGTTCCGATAACCTGGATGTGGTTGAAGCGAATATCGGACTTTGAAGCCAATGCGCTTTCTGAATGTAATTAGCTTTGAGAAGCTTCTGGTAAGTAGTAAACATACGAGCAAAGAGCATGATGCTCGCGGAAGTCTGTTCTTGTCAGCAGTTGCTCGTTTCGGGTCTTCGTCCTTGATGCATACCAAAGGGCCCATCATATTGCTCGTTCTTTTGTAAGCAAAGTCCGTGTACAAGATGAAGACACTCAAGATACACACAAAGGCTGCGAGTAACAAGGCTCGGCCTTTATACGCCATCCTACCCATGCTGTTCAGCCCGCGATGCCTCGCACTAGAGCTCAGACGTTGAAGTCGTTCCCGCCATGCATCCGATTCACGCTAGCCCGTCGCGTGCGCTCACAATAGCTCGCGATTGGTTAATCGTGCCACGTGGGATGAGTGTACACGCTTCGAAAGTTCTCAATTTAGAAGGTGCAGAAATCACCGAATGGTAGTGTCGGATATGCATCGCTTTATATTTGTGCACCGTTTCGATGGAAGGTGATTTTAGAACGAATAAGCGGTAGTTTGATGGCGGAAGCGATGATGGCGACGGAGCTGTTAGGAGAAAAGCGGGGTAACACCCTGTAAAGAAAGGAGCTACCACATGTCTTGGATTGTCAACAGCATCGAAGAGGAACAGTGCAGAGTAGTCGAATAACAGAATCCATGGGCACCAAAATCTGTGTTCCGAATTGAATTCTACAATTGGTCGTACCAGGATATACTGGCTGCCACTACCAATCATGCTTTTGTCCATACTTGGCAATGAAGCCACCCACTTCAGCATCTCTTTCACCCTGCACGATTTCCAATAGCCCCTTTGCGCTTGTCTCTGAGCTTTCGACGCCGTTCTCTACTCTCTGTTCTCTATCGCCGCCCAGATCCGTTACTACAAAGCCAGGACAGTAGGTCCAGACTTTGAAACCGTCCGGCTTGAGCTGATAGTACTGGTATGCTGTCAACATATTCAGTGCAGCTTTGCTCATGCGATATCCAGAATATTTCACACCAGAGTAAGAGCCGCTGTGGTCTGAGATTGCGCCAATGCTGCCGAGGCTGGAGCTTACGTTGATGATGCGTGGGTTGGATGAATGCTTCATTAGAGGAATGAAAGCCTGGGTAATAAGTGTTGCGCCAAACACGTTGGTCTCGAAAATCGTGCGCATCAGCTCTCGGTTGGGCCATGTTTCATCTCTTTCTGGGCAAACACCAGCATTGTTGATAAGGACGTCAAGATGTCCGAAATCCTGCTCGACTTTCTTGGCTGCCGCTTCGATAGAAGTGTCGTCGTTGGCGTCAAGTTGTACCAGAGAGAGGGTGCCTTGGATGCCCGGTTTGGCTTGCAATTCTTTCAAAACAGTCCCCCCCTTCGAAAGGTTGCGTGCGCCGATGATAACATGATAGTTTGGGGAGGCGGACGCAATATAAATCGCCGTGTCCAGGCCAATACCATTCGTTGCGCCTACACAAGTAATTAAGATGAGGGGCTTAGTGTATATTTTTTGAAGAGCTGGTTACCTGTAATGAGCACGACCTCTTTCTCTGAGTAAGATGTCATTTTCGACTGGAGCTTATGGACCGTTGTAGGATGGGTATTAAGATGTTCGATATGAATTGAAGTGGACCGGATGGATTCTGGTGATGCTCAGGTCGACGTAGAACAGTGGCAAATATATATCCTGCCAACAAAGTAACACCGGATGAATAAATTCCTCAGGCGTCCAGCGGGTAAAGTTATGGATGGATTGAGTATAGTTGAGGATGTGGTGATTAGCAAATGGGGAATTGTACGAGGAGTAACGCCGTACATCGCCAGGGAGTTTGCAGGTATATTCGGGTTTAATTGACTAAATCCGACTCATTGGTCCTCATGAAGTCATTCGAAACGCCCTGCCAAGACCTAACGTCTAAACTCCACTGCTCGCCTTACACGCATTCTTATAAATCCTCGGGCTTGGACGTTGAATTTATGTGCGAGAACGATGTAAATACGCGATGAGCTCGTTGCATAAATCCGAGATGCGCTTCCATTCTTTCACGTGGAGCGCGAGCAAATGTGCGGATGGTTAGGTATCGTGATATCGAGAGGTATGACCCAGAACCAACAAGGTACCTTTAGGTAGTGCGGGAGACCAGAGCATTCTCTGACGCTGGTGCAAGTGCATGATTGTGTGCTCATGCACTGATCAGCTTCTGTAGTCTCAAGAGCTAGACACTTTTCGAATGATATTCTGCGTGTCACAAACAGCGACGTTCAAGATTGCTTTGTTACGACGATTCGAATGATAACATAGTAGATGTGGACTCATGACGGCGACACGGCTTGGACAGAGGTGGTGATGGCAGAAGTAGCGATCGTGGGTGGATGAAGACGCGTGGGGTAAGAAACCTTGACATTAGCGCGGCGCGACACGACGTCATGCCGGTCCAGCCCACCAAGCGTCTCTATGCGCCTACTAAGAAGAAACTCGATGTTCTTTCTGTAGTCAGTCAATCCTTGAAGCGCATAGCGCCGCTGATAAGATGCCATCCCTGGTCCGCAAGCTGCTCATCTTCGCTGCCGTCGACGGGCTCGTCCTCCAGCCGTCCCCGCCCCGCAACCATCCGCCGGCGACGCAGCAGGCCATCAAGGTCGATTACAAAGGCAACGTCGGGCCCCTGTTGAAGGACAGGCGCGAAGAAGATACTGCGCCCGTGTCCGTGGAGGCGCATGGCATCGTCGGTATGCGCGCGCTCACCTGCGCATTGCGACGTGCAGTGCACAGCTAACCACGCCACCAGGACTGCTCAAAGTCGCTACTTCCTACTTTTTGATATCGATATCCGACCGCGAACAAGTAGCGCTCATACGCGGCAAGCCCATCTACAAGATCACCAATGTCGCTCTCATCCCGCTCTCCTCACAAGCCGACGCCGACAAGGCCATTGTAGCCACGCGGGACCACTTGAAGCGTCGCAACCGCGCACCCGGGCTCGATGACGAGGATACAGATAGCGAGAGCGAAGATGGTGCGCCCAGTGTAACCGACTCAATCGTAGAAGATTCCTCATCTGCACCCAGCGAGGTGAAGGACACTGTCACCGGGCAAAAAGGGACGGCGGCCCAGAAGACAAGTGTCGCCGAAGACGTCATACAACGGAAAGGTGTATACGGCAGATTCGCTGACAAGTGGTTCTCGCGCAAGGGCTGGAACGCTGACAACAGGCGTCTGCAAGGGCTGAGCTCCGAGGAGAACCTGGCCGCGAAGAATGTGCCGCAGAACGTTGACTCAGGAATGCCCAAAGAGGAAGAGCAACCCAAGACTGAATCGAAGCCAGATGCGATACCAACATCTGACAAGGACATTTCGGAACCAGTCAGTCCAGAGGCGATACCCAAGGCTCTGAGCGGCGAGAAGGACGCTGCGACTGTAGCTCTCCTACCCAAGATCCTACAGACCACCAAAATGTACTTTTCATCGGGTAACTTCTTCTTCTCCTACGACTATGACATCTCACACGGCATCGGCCAGCAGCAACCCAGTTCCAGTGTGGCGCTATTCAAGCAGTTCGATCCTTTGTTCTTCTGGAACCAGCACATCATCTCGCCCTTCATCGATGCTGGTCAACATTCTTTCGTGCTCCCTGTAATGCAAGGCTTTGTTGGCCAGAGACCATTCACTATCAAGACGGCGGATGGCCAGTCGAGCAGCCTTGTAGTCGATCCGAGTGCTACCCCCGACGACATTCAGCTGCAGTCCTGGCATGAGAAGCAAAAAGAGGAGTCGCAATCCACTACAGAAGCCAGTAGCGAAGCACCTGCTCCGGACGCTTCACTTGCAGACGGTAAAGACTTTTTGTTGACACTCATCTCGCGACGTTCTATCAAGCGGGCTGGTCTTCGTTATCTGCGACGAGGAACAGACGACGAGGGATGCACTGCGAACAGTGTAGAAACGGAACAGATCCTGTCCGTACCAACCTTCAGCACGACGCAAGATAAGATCTTCTCCTTTACGCAAATTCGCGGTTCAATACCCCTGTTCTTCTCTCAATCACCCTACAGCCTCAAGCCTCAAGTCTCTACTTGGGGATCTTTTGAAACAAACGCTCAAGCTTTCAAGAAGCATTTCCTCGATCTGTCTTCGCGCTACGGTGATATTTACTGTGACTCGCTTATCGACAAACACGGTACGGAGGCAAAAATTGGCGAACTTTACGAACAGCATGCCAAGGCGCTCAATGAGAACGGCGGGATCGATGGCAAGGGCAAGCAACTGGGCTTCGAATGGTTCGACTTCCACAACGTGTGCCGTGGCATGCGCTTTGAAAACGTCTCAAAACTGATGGACTCCATCGAACCCTTCATGACATCTTCTGGCTGGGTGGAAATCTCAGATGATCAAGTCCAACGGAAGCAGGCCGGTGTCTTGCGCACAAATTGTATGGATTGTTTGGACCGCACCAACGTCGTCCAATCTGCGTGTGCTAGAACCGCTCTTGAATCCCAGTTATCAATGGGTAGCTACAACATCGACCTTCAGAACGACCCTAGCACTTCGTGGTTCAACACTCTCTGGGCTGACAACGGTGACGCAATCTCTCGGCAGTATGCTGGCACCGCTGCGCTGAAAGGAGATTTTACGCGCACCCGAAAACGACAAATCACCGGTGCGCTTACCGATTTTGGGCTGACACTCACGAGATATTACAACAACATTGTAAATGACTACTTCGCTCAAGCCGTCATTGACTATCTCCTCGGTCGCGCTACCGATACCATATTTGCAGAGTTTGAAGCAGATATGAAGAGCTCGGATTATTTCATTGATGTGCGCAAGGTACGGCAACAAGCCATCGAGCGTTCTGCTGGTATTGTAATCGAGGATCGTGATGAGGACCTGGTACACGGATGGACCTTGAGCGTACCCACCGCTGTTAACCAAGTCAAGACTGCCACGTTTGAGGAAGCCGTTCTCTTACTGACGGAGAAGGCCCTGTACTTCTGCCGTCTCGACTGGGGCACAGAAAAGGTACGCGAGTTTGAACGCATTCCACTTGAAAATGTGCAGGGTCTCATGCGCGGCGTTTACATTACGTCTACATTAGCGCAACGACACACGGATGCAGACAAGAATGTTGGCCTCATCATACGGTACCGAGCCGACACCCAAGGCGAGCTAGTACGACGAAACACAAGAGCCTTAGATTCAGGGGCCGCCAACGACGAGCAGCGCAAGGATGACGCTAAGAAGGACCAGAAGCAGGATTCTGCGGGCCGATTCCTAGCGTTCAAGGCGTTACCACCGAGAAGTAGTGTTCCGTCATCTCCTGGCGACACTCCAGAGAATGAGGGCGAGGTGGTGAAGTCAGTATGCGACGAAATCGTGAGAATTGCCAATGATATGAAGAAAGGAGGAAGGGACGAAGACAGAACATTGGAGGTAGAAGAGAAGGACATCATCAGCCTTACGGATGCGAGAAAGACTACAGGCTACCTCGAACAGTTTGAGTATTCCTTGAAGAAGCTTGTTTGGGGCTAAGCTCTGGAGATTCTCGGTCGTGCCATGTTATTCCTCGCTGTACTCTATTCGGCGCACAGTACATACTCGCTTGGCAGAGAAGTCCGCGTCATGTAGTTATATCAAGCCATTGTTCTTTGTTCTACTGTTCCATCCACAACGTTCTCGGACGTTGTGGTGTCTCGGTATAGCAAATCATCTAGAAGACAATTTCTTGACTCGCTATGTATTGACCATAGTATCAGTCCATGGGTATCTCCACTTCCCGACATCCTCGAGCGGTCACATGTAGTGCAGAAGAGCGTTGCATCCAGCACGGCGGATCCACGGCGGATCCACGGCGGATCCACGGCGCTTCCGACAACCGGTTACTCAGGTGCGTGTGGGACGATGCGGGTGGCTGCTGGCTAGTTGGCGAGCATACGAAGGCCGCATCGGGAAATGCATCCGCTTTGCTTGTGTGGTGTTGCGCGTCAACATTGAGGAGAATGGAGTACTAAAGACTTCGGGGCGCTGTTGGTGGGTGTTCGACGATGTCGCGTTGTGACCAACGAGCTGAGATGGTAGCGACCCCGCGAACTGCTATTGCCCCAACATCTTCTCCGCGTTCAACTTCTCCTCACTCCCACCTCTCTTCAACGGACGCGACAACCCCACTCTTCAGCGCGATTAAGCGTTAAGGCCGTTGGGTCTTGCTTTCCGTGTCGGCGGAGCCGCGCCGCATTGTAATTCGATGCAACATGTCACGCTAGAACTTCGGCACATGCAGCGCTGGGCACACCACGATAAACTGCATCGGTCCAATCGCCCCATAGCGACGGTCACGCCCCACCTAGAGCCTCAATTCGCTTGGATGGAGGATACCGCGGCATCGTGATGTGCTAATTGCACACAAAAGTTTGGATCAGCTGAGGGGTCGAGGAACGCCTTACCACGGGCTAGCATGCCACGCCCTCTCCGACGACTTGTTGAAGCTTAACGGTCACAGGCTTGCTCGGCACTCGGCATCCAGCTTAAGCTTTTGACTCGACGGGAGGCGCAAACCTCGTCTATGCTAGCGTCAGCAAGTCGCATTGAGAAAAGCGGGTCGACGTCAGCGGCTTGGAAGGTGAGTGGCCGCATGCCGTTCTCAATCGCGGTGCGTGACGTCAACAGTGGAAACCTCACACCGTGCTCATTTGAGCGCGAATTGCACAGTCCAAAGGGGCCCACCAAATGAGAAAATTTCTTCTTCATGGGGTGCCCTTGGGGTGCAAGATTGGGGGCAGAAGTGTGGGTGTCTGGAGTCTGGAGGAAAAATGGAGCGAGTTGTTGTGCGGAGTGCGGAGTGTCACGCCTCAGGTTCGACGAGATCTGAGATGGTGGTCACCCATCAGCATTAGCTGTGGTACGACCAACCCGCGAGCGGCAACTCATCATGGTGATCGCAGTATCGTCTTTCCGTGGCGCAATAAACGGCTTCCTTTGCCCTGTTGCCAACCCGTTGCCCGTCGTCTCGGCATCAATTGTCCCCCAAACGCGCCCGACTCGACTCGCAAAGACAAGCACTAAGCGGCCCCATCGTGTCAGGCTTGTCATTTCTTCGCTCCGCCGCAAGACTCCATGTCATCCTCCTACCAATCAGCGTGTTTCTCTTCGGAGACTATACCAAGGCAGGAAGCACAGCAGTGTGTTTTCCGAAAGTCGAACGAGGATGGACGTTACCTGGGAGAGTGAAAGGTCCGCTGCGGGGCTCCCACGTTGTTCTCCTGACCCGAGCTGCGCGCCTGGTATCACACCGAGAGGAGCATGGCATATAAACCCTTTTTGTGCCCCGACGTCGTGGTTGTTTTCCTTTAACCACGCCTGTTCAGCCTTCGGGTCCATCCAATATATCCATTTGTAGGGTGATTGGCAAGACAAGACACCACCATGGTTTACCAGATCGGTAACATCTACGGCATCACCGCCATTGCGGTCATTGGCGGTGGACTGTTTGGTTTCGACATCAGTTCTATGAGTGCCATGTATGTCGACTCTCTCCACTACCATCGAGAATCATGCTAACATTGACAGTCTGCCAACTCAACAATACCGCTGCTACTTCAACCAGGGACCTTTGGGCCCACCTTTCACAGGTCCTGAAGAGGACTGCTCTGGTCCTACTGCCGATGTGCAGGGAGGTATCACTGCTGCGTAAGCCCGCTTCATCAGTGAATTCTACCTTTGCAAAGACTAACTCAGTTTAGCATGCCTGGTGGCTCCTTCGTCGGTGCCCTCGTCTCTGGTTACCTCACGGATAAGCTCGGTCGTCGCAGGGCTATCCAAATCGGTTGTGCCATCTGGATCATTGGTTCCATCATCTCTTGCGCCGCTCAAAACATTGGCATGCTCATCGCCGGTCGCTTCATCAACGGTCTGTCTGTCGGTATCTGCTCCGCTCAGGTTCCTGTCTACGTCTCCGAACTCGCTCCTCCTTCCCGCCGCGGTCGTGTTGTAGGATCGCAACAATGGGCCATTACATGGGTAAGAGATGTCACTGTACGAACTGAGTATGGAACATATACTGACTTTACAATATAGGGTATCCTCATCATGTACTACATCTCCTACGGCTGCAGCTTCCTGGACGGCGAGAAGGCTTTCCGTGTCCCATGGGGTCTACAGATGATTCCCGCTGTTATCCTTGCCATTGGTCTCGTATTCCTGCCGGAATCTCCTCGTTGGCTCGCACGACACGACCGTTGGGAGGAGACTCAGGCTGTTCTTACTTTGGTTCACGGCAAGGGTGACCCCAACAGTCCCTTTGTCAAGCTTGAGCTGGATGAGATTCGCCAGATGATCGAATTCGAGCGCCAGAACGCTGATGTATCCTTCATGGAGCTCTTCAAGCCTAAGATGTTGAACCGTCTCCACATTGGTGTCTTCACCCAGGTTTGGTCTCAGCTGACAGGCATGAACGTTATGATGGTAAGTTGTGCCTGTACGAACTGCATGTGAAACATTAACTAACCTGGTACCTTTACCTCTACAGTACTACATCACATACGTCTTCGGTATGGCTGGTCTCACCGGTAACATCAACCTTGTCGCCAGTTCCATCCAATACGTCATCAACGTCCTGATGACCGTTCCCGCTCTCCTCTTCATGGACCGTTGGGGTCGCCGCCCTATGTTCGTCATCGGTGCCATCCTCATGATGACCTGGATGTTCGCCAACGCTGGTCTTATGGCTTCCTACGGTAAGCCCGCTCCTCCGGGTGGTCTCGGTAACATTGCCGAGCAATCTTGGGAGATTGGCGGCGCACCTGCGAGGGCTGTCATTGCCTGCACATACCTTTTCGTTGCCTCTTACGCGCCTACCTGGGGTCCTGCCTCTTGGGTCTACCCCCCTGAGATCTTCCCTCTCCGCATCCGTGGAAAGGCCGTGGCCGTCGCAACCTCATCGAACTGGTAAGTACCCAATCACTCACAAAGCATGCACCGTAGCAAAAGCTAACCCCACTCTAGGATCTTCAACTTCGCCCTTTCCTACTTCGTCCCACCCGCCTTCGTCAACATCCAATGGCGCGTCTACATCATCTTCGGTGTCTTCTGCTTCGCCATGGCTGTCCACACTTTCTTCCTCTTCCCCGAGACAGCTGGAAAGACTCTTGAGGATGTGGAGGAGATGTTCATGACTGGCGTTCCAGCCTGGAAGACCAAGGTTGAGTACAGCAGCACTCGCCGTGCTGAGCGTGGCGAAATTGACAACGAGAAGGCCTCTGGTCTTGAGCACAGCCCCGTCAGGGTTGAGAACGCCGAGACCAAGGCTTAGGCTTGGTTGTGTATGTTTCGAACGACTTGATGGGAGATGCTGAGTATTAGATACGATCGATGGTAATGGCCGTTATGGCTCGCTTTAATCGCAACGTACTACGGTACGATGATCTTCAACCATACCCTGTATCCTCCTAATTTATGGTGCAACCTGTGATGACACGTCTGTATACAGGCTGAAGATTTGACCACGATAGACAAATAGGCATGTCGTGAGGTTCCATGACGCCCAATCGTGATACGTGTCGTGTAGACCTGCTATATACGAACTGCTGTCAGCAATACGAAGAAAGCCATTTGTGAGTTTCAGCCTGCACCAATGTAATTAGAAGGTTCCTGCTACGGTTTTATCTGGTCATTCGCATCGAATCAGGTAGTGAATACTCGAAGTTTACTTTCTAGTGTTGCGTGTAGTTCAGAACGAACAAACTAGCCCTCATAATGTTCCTTCTCGCTTGAATGTGGCTGAACTCGACGCATGCGCCGGACGAGGGTAGCGAGACGCGACGCGACTTCTGATCGCCCACGCTTCCATCTCATTTACAACATCGGCATCTTCTTGACTCAACTCAACTCAACTCGAACATGTGAGCGCTCTCTAATCCGCCAAGCGTCTCTCGTTCGCAAACATTCGCGCACCAGTCGCATAAGGTTCGTAGGACGTGCTAATGGCGTCGCTATGAACCATGGACATTCTTCCAAAAGGTACCACGATGGCTGGGCTGGGCTGATTTTATCGAACTAATCTTGCAGGGCATAAAAAAGTCTCGTTTTTCCCTGTTGCAATGCTGCGTAGGTCATGTGCTCAAGTGGGGTAGCATGTGCGCCACGGCTGCAGAGCTACAGCGTCTACTTCAGCCTGCTTGCTGACACGTCTCGAGTCGTTCCGGCTGCCCTGTCGATAACCGCTGAACACAGTGAGGGCAATGCGGCTTCTCGACTCTCGAACGCTTCAACTCCGAACCTTCTATGGGGACGACATCCCTCCATATGCGATTCTGTCACACACATGGCTACAGGACGAAGACGAGGTCACCCATGCGCAAATACAGGACCCAGAGAACTGCCGCCATATGATGGGATTCCAGAAGATCGAATACACGTGTCAACAGTCGATACGAGATGGTCTGAATCACGTCTGGATTGACACATGTTGTATTGACAAAACGAACAGCACAGAGCTGTCCGAAGCTATCAACTCAATGTTTCAATGGTACTCCAATTCCAAAGTTTGCTATGTTTACCTTACAGACATATCTGACCAACAGAATGGGAACTTGATGGGTAGCAGATGGTGGTCTCGAGCGTGGACTCTACAGGAACTTCTTGCACCAACGGACGTCAGGTTTTACAACGTCTTCTGGCAGCGCATAGGATCGAAAAGGGATTCAATTCTTATCATCACATTCGACACAGGTATAGACGAGGAAACACTACGCTCTCCCAAAAGGATGTTTGACAAGAGCATTGCACAACGGTTATCCTGGGCAGCTGGCCGTAAAGCCAAGAGGACTGAAGACCGAGCATACAGCTTGCTTGGCATACTTGGTGTTAATATGGCAATGCAATATGGCGAGGGTTCTGGCGCGTTAGTAATTTCCTTGTACGAACTGCATGTGAGACAAATGCTGACTTCGTACACTCATCTTTAGATTCACGCGTTTGCAAGAGGCTATTTTGCAAGACAACAACGACCAAACGTTGTTCGCCTGGAGTTGTGTACCCAAGACTATTTCAGAGATCTACGATCAGATTGAAAAGGATGAGAGTGCCGACTCGAGCGCTCTGCTGGGACCTGCACCTGGACATTTCAAGAACAGCGAGAACCAGCGGTCCCAGTCAGTGGGAATTGGTCAGGGTTCTGGGTCTAACCCTGAAGAAGGCCGCTTGGAGTTTTCCCACAATGGATTGTTCGCGACGGATCCAGATTCGTTCCGGGACTGTGGTGGAATCATCTTTCACAGTAGACACGGTCTTGAAAGTAATATTACTAAACTCAATGGTTCGTGGCGCATGAATATGCCCCTCACTCATGTGAAGAGACGATATATTACGTACAAGGTCGGGCTCCTTCCATGCTCCTATTCCGATCGACCTTACCATCTCTTAGCAATCTTGCTACAATGCTGGAACAGTGGTAACCATTACCAACGCATCAGCCCTGGAAGAGGGGTCTTTACATTTCTTGTCAACATCAGCTTTACAAAAGATCTGCGCGTTCATAGGCTTTGGGTCCATGGATCGAATTGGTTGACCTCTCATCAAAAGTCTTTGAGCGACAAGCAAGTCAAAGACTATAGGAGTATTAGGTTGCGAATCAGACCAAATCAGGACGATTGGTGCTTCTCGAGCTCAGAACCCAAGGATGCTACATGGTCATCGAGCGATATGTTACTAGAAGTTCCGAGTATGCCACGTCACTACGCAAGCTATGACGCAGAAGCCGCGAGCCACTCAGACTTTTGGCAATATAACAACTATATATCCAGGAATTCTACAGGAGAGGGACATCGCAAATACAAGCAAGTTCTTCATGAGAGCGATCCGGAAAGCAGGAAAGGATTCCAGGATAAAGTCTTGCTAAGTCTCCAACATCACACCGGCGCTCAGATCAACTTTGCCCTTGTGCTACCGGTGACACCAGATATGCTTTCGTGTGGTGGCGATGATGTTTTCAACAGCGGGGTGATGGTCTTTGCTGGTGACGAGAGAGATGTGGATTGGGTCGTGCGGCTCGAAAAAGCGTGGAATAGGGCATCACCTACCTCGAGAGTTGGGTCAATACGAGCTTCAGTCACTACGCGTCGTGTGTTCAACCAGCTCATATCTACCCTAGAGATCGAGGACACGAAAGGTGACCCTAATCTTAATCATCTCGAGCGGGAGGCACGTTTCTATCGTAATCTAGGCGACAAGTATGAGAGAAAACGAGTTCAAGAAGAATGGCGAAAATTACATGACGCACTCACGCCTGTACCAACACCGCCCTCTGTCAGTGAGACGCCAAAGTCGAAGCTGCGATTGTCGACAAGGTGGCCGTCGGGAACACTACATGTTTTTGGGAAAGACAAACGAACCGGCTGCACTCATTCTGATTACGGCAGTTAAGCACAGCACCACCTCCGACTGCAATCGAGCACGCGATTGACCACAAGGCGATGTGAAACGACACAGGAACCAATGCGAATACAGATATTGAGCTTGCACGGTAGGAAATTCCAATGCAAGTATTGAGTAATGCTGTGACGACGAGGAGTCTTTGATTGAGATTCCAGGCATGGTAGAGATCAAATGATGGAGCTAAATGGTCGAAGACTGCTCGAGACGTGTTGAATGCGACAGCTTCTCAGATGATGATCATAACTTATTCATTCGTGGTATCTATGTACTATGGAACTTGTCCACTCTTCCAGTTCATATGACCTGTGAGGAAGCACACTCTCCATTTTTAGCAGACAGCATGTGTCTTGCCAGTCTTGCCCTGCAGACTGTGGTCGTCGTCGAAGTGGTCTGTCGTCTTCTTCTTATAGATGGGACTGACGATGGTTGAGCGACGACGCATGGCGAATGCATGCTGTCTGTGCTCCTCAATCTTCTTCGCATCAAGCTTGTCCAGCGTCTGTAGCGCAAGCTTGAAGTCAGCGAGCAGTGCGTCACAACGAGACTTGGTGAAGTCTTCGCGTACGACTACACGCAGCATCTTCATCTTCTCGGAGTGAGGCGCCATGGTGTAGGCTGGGACAACCCATCCGCGCCCGCGGAGTTGATGAGCGCTGCACATGATTAGTTACTTTCCCTGCAGAATGTCTCAAGCAAACTTACATGGCGAACTCGTCGTACTGCTTTCCAAGGTCTTCATCGATTCGGCAAGCAACGAGCGGAAGACCAGCGCCACTCCTCTGGCTCATAATAATAAAGCCTAGTGCTTCCAGGTTCGCTGCTAGATAATCGGCAGTGCGCGTCAAGTTCAGCATAATCTTCCTGTATCCGCGCTTACCCAGCCGGATAAGTTGGTAGTACTGTCCGATGATCTGAGAAGCTCCGCGAGAGAAGTTGAGGGTAAAAGATGCCTGATCGGCACCGAGGTAGTTGATGTTGAAGACGAGTTCCTGGGGCAGGTACTTGGGGTCGCGCCATACAACCCAACCGACACCAGGGTATACGAGTCCGTACTTGTGTCCGGAGACGTTGATGGACGTGACTTTGGGAAGACGGAAGTCCCAGAGCAGACCGGGGTTAACGAAGGGGGCAACGAAACCACCAGATGCAGCATCGACGTGGATATCAACATCAATGTTGCGTTCAACAAGGAGGTCATTGATGGCTTTTATGTCTTCGTATTCACCGGTGTATGTCGTTCCTAGAATGGCGCCTATTGGGGTTAGTGTATTGTTGTGAGGTGTATGTTGGGTCAAGTACAAATTCCAATGGTGTTCTCATCGACGAGGTCCACGCATTCCTTGGGGTCCATCACGTAGCGTTCAGTTGTGCAGTACACATATCGCTCCTCGACGTCGAAGTATCGGCATGCTTTCTGCACATAGTCAGTACGTTGGGTTTCTGATGTATACGTCGTCGCAAGACCATAGGATACGTACCTCCCAGCAAACCTGTACGGCCGAGTTCATGATCATGTTAGGCTTATCATAGGGCTTGCCCTCAGCTTTGCGCTTATTTTGCCAAAGCTTCTTTTGGGCCAAAACTCCCAGCTACAACGTGTCAGCTCAACAGTCTCCAAATTCGAATCGCTCCATGTACTGACCATGATAGCCTCTGAAGATCCAATAGTAGATGTACCGATCGTGTTCGCTTCTGGATCACAAGGTGCGTTGAAAAGCCTTGCGATCATCGAAACACATCCTTTTTGTTGTTCAGCGAAAATCTCCAAAGCTTACGAGCTGTATTGTATACGCACGGTTCTGAATATCGGCGCTGACGGGGTACTCTTCGTAATCGATGAAGTTCTTGGAGAAGGCATCGCTGTAAGACAAGGTTATTCGGATGATCGCGGAGTGCAGCTACAATGAACATACACCATGAGTTTCTCAGCCTCTTCTTCCTATGCATGAATTAGCGCTTGTGGCGTAGGCGGCAGTCGGGACATCTTACCATGTAGGTTGTTACGAATGAAGCCAAGTTCAGCGTTGGGGTGCCGTCGAGCGTGAGGTCATCTTTGATCATACGGTAGGCGCTGGCATGTAGTCAGCAATCATGTCGCGCGTTCTTGCGTTGCTAAAGCTGTATCGCGTTCGAGAAGTGGTACTCTAAGCAGCGTCGTACTTACACATGAGGAGGCATCTCCCGGTCCTGCTCATGATTAGTTTGCAAACGGCTTTACAGGTGTTGAAACACTCACGGGCATCTCATGTCTCGGGAGGTCTTCAGCAGCATACTTGCTACCGTACACCGTAGCAGTGTAGTCGTCTGCCTCATCATCCGGAGTCAGGTTGATGGAGGTAGTAGCATCGATGGCTTCAAATTGAGCCTTCTCCTCAGAGATCTCCTTGTGAGTCGCGACCCGATTGATGTGAACCATATCGGCGATTTCTTGGGGTAGTTTTGGTGGTACGAGGAGAGACTTTGGAAAGAAGAATGAAGGAAGCGACGAGCAGGAAGCCTGAAAAGATCAATTCCGCCGCGGAAGCAGCAGCTTATATCCCCCACCAGGTCCTGCTGTGCCTAGCATGCAGCGTAAACACGCCGCCCGCGTTCCAGCTCACCATGTTACCCCACCATAGCACCACTTGCATACGACACACGTCGGGCGGCCCTCTCGCAGCCAACGCTCCACGACGCACATGCCGATCCCTCGTCATCCAGACCGCCTGAACCAACCCTTCACCAGTTTGCTCTGCATGAGCCGTTTGACCTGGGTATGAGACATGTAAATAGGAACACGGTTGCGCGTCGAGTGTGCTCATTCGAGCGACACATGTCATAGCGGGGTACCACGCGTTCCGCTAAGCATTTGACCAGTGAAGCTTGTCTACCTAGCGACTAATAGTTCTTGCACCGCCTCACGCTAGGAGGTAGACTAACACTCTCTTAGAAGCTAACAGCGGGGTCTGTATATGTAGTGGGTAGTGCCAGGTACGATCTGCCCGGGCGTGTTGATGTTCGCCCCGCAGTCACTTTCCACAGCTGTGAGAGCCGAGAAGATGCACACCGGAGTTTAAGAGCACAAGCTAAGCCATTGCGGTGTACGCCTACTTAACGAGTATGTCTTTGCAGTAAGGCGTTCGTAAAATACGCATAGCGTCAGCCTTAGTTATTCCAATATATACACAACCTCGGTGCTGGCAACAACCAAGGTTTCTTGTCGGACGCTGATTGGATGCTTCTTACCCGCAGCTGACAGATAAGGCTGCGGGTAAGCCGCGGCGCGAACCTAGGTGCGCCGAAATGAGATCCTCAAGATCCTCGTAGGTAACTGTTGTCACTAGTGCTGAGTCGTGTGAATATGCTGTGTGATGGCGTTGTTCACGGCATAGAGTGTCATTTTATGGTGAACAAAACTATTCTCATAAAATTGCTTGCATGATCATATACATGTAGATCCCTCAGAGGTAGAAGTATTACGCCTTTCAGTATTGCTGGTTCGCCAATGTATGTAAACTCCATGGAAATGCAGAGCGCTGAGGCTTGTCAATGAGTAGTCGCTAGGATTTGGGCGCAATCGTAAGACGACGGCAGCATAGCTAGAATCTCGCTGGTCGGAAGATCGACATGTGCGTAGCTTGCTCGAGTAAAACCGAAAGATTAGCTGCGGAAGTGTTGTTGCTTATGTATAAGGCGCTGGCAAGAAGGCGACCCGAGGGTCTGGATGGCTAAAGCGGATGCACCACGCTTGGGGCTTGGCGACTGAGTTACCGTACTACGAGGAAATACAGTCGTCGTATCATGCGATATGCGTAAGGCCGATGTTCTAAATCTCCTCCGTCGTGATTGGCCCACCTGCCTCCATAAGCGTTCATATTAAACTGTTTGTGCCCTGTAGATTGATCTACAAAATCCTTTCTTGCTTTATATTATATTCGCAATACTGATACGACTTGTTCCTGACGGTGTAGGGCTTGGGTTCGGTGTGGGTTTCGGTGGCGAAAGTACATCGGTTGCTAATTGCACTCGCTTGACGGGATTATGCGGCGGAGGATAATAGGCTGGTGGCTGCGTGGATCGGTGGAGGTGCTCGTCCATTAATTGCCTGATCATCTGTTCAGCCTGAGCCCAGTCGTCTGCTTCTGTAGCACCGTTCATCGGTGAACCAGATGGTGTTCGTAAGGGTAGCGCGTCTCGCATTGGCTCGTCTGTGCCTGGTGATCGGATGGCAGTTGGGGCCGCCTCTTGTGTTGAGCTTGAAGAGGTCAAATTGTCGCCTACCCAGACCCATGAATGCTGAAGGCTGCTTTGAGCGTCTGCACTGACATACGCAATCATTTCCTCATCTTGTTCGAGTTGTTGACTGGTTGCCTGACCGCTGCGTACGCGATCAAACATTCTCTCTAGAAAGAACGCCACGTTCTTTCCACATGCCAAGTTGGTCTTCCGCACATTGCCGATAGTCCTCGAAAGGTGCAAGCACACCAGCGCAGCTTTGTACTCGCCCTGGAAGCAAAGCACGAGGATGCATCGCCATAAGTGCAAACACACCGTATTGCTCGCTATCGATGCCACCCTCTCCTCCCACCCTTTACCCGAGTCTTGTTTGGGAGGATTATGTAAAGCCCTTGACACGTATTTTGCTGTATCCTGAGATACGGAGACGCAACGCTTCAAAGCATTAGCCCGCTCAGTTGAGCCCGATAAAGGAGTAAGGTTGCGCCGGTACATATGGAAGCGAGCGGATAATAGGCAGAAGATCGTAGGCAGCGCCGTTACGTCGAACAACGCACTAGAGTCTGGTTGGTAGGCCTCGGGAAGGACCAGCAGTTTCAATCGAAGCTCTTCGTCGAAGCTTTGTAGAGTCTGAGGCAGGACGACGCTCGATCTTAAGACCTGGTGTAATGGTGCGTATAGGCGTGTGATGTGTATATTGGCCACAAAGCCAGTGAAGTGAGCCGGTTTTGCCATTGAGCGGAAAGAACTGTTGGGTTGAATATAGCGGTCTTCTAGAGAGGATGGTAGAGAGATCTCGCAATCGCTCTCGTTGATGATCATAGGCTTGCTTGTTTCAAGAGAGATGATCCTTGATCGACGTTAGCATTGGACGGCAGAGGAACGCGGAAGGAAAACCTCGTACCTATCACGAACATAGATGGACCACCAGAGCCTACGTCGGATCTCACCATCGACGACGGGCCAGCAATCAACTTCAGGGCAGATTTCTAGGTCTTGTGCCATCCTTGCTGCAGAAGCGAGCCACATAGAGCCCACGGAACGTATGTTGCTTTCAGTGGCGTATATACTCAGCAGGAGTGCTGCTTGAGCAAAAGTGACTGATGATTCCTGCGGCCAGGGTTGGAGAACAGCAGTTGCAGTCTCATACATTGCCTGTCCTTTGGACGCCGTGGTAAGAGAGCTCATATGCTCAGCCCCGGTCTGCAAAGAGCCACAAGCTAGTACCGCGAAGAACAGCCCAACCCATTCACGGGAGCAGCCTTCGAATGTTTTTGACATATAAACCTCGTCCACTTCACGTTGGAACGTAGGCCAATGGACTGCGGGATACCACTCATGTGTTGTCTCGAGGTAAGAACGGGCGAGGTACGCGAAGTCTGCGCGTGCTGGTATTTCAGATGGGCACCAATTCGAAACTGCAGCGCTGCTGAGAGTCTGATGCGGCGTATGAAAAACACCTTTGGAATGCGTTCGGATGTTGCTACGAACGTGTTCGAAGTTGTTCAAGGTTGAGAAGGATACCTGGCGTGGTCCCGGTAATGTGCCAGCGTGTGCTTCGGAAAGCCTGCGCTTTGTGTCCGTTCGTTCGGTATCCCAGGGGTCCTTGTCCGAGACCTTGGTTCGTAGCTGAGAGTTCATATGTGTTAACTCGGCAATTTGACTCTGGAGGTCCTGGACCTGTCTATGCAAGTCAGCGACCTTCGTCTAACTGTGGTCGTCCACGACTACGTACTTGATCGACGACATCCGGCGGTTGGTCTCCTTCGTGAACTGGCACCTATGGTTACGGCTCGAACATTCCGAGCAAGCCGATGTCTCCGTTGCATCGCACTGTTGTGGTCGTCAGCTACATGCCACCTGAACGCTCGACCTTCTGCTCCGAACTTGCTCATAAGCGTGTTTCGTCTCGACGAGCCTCGGATGCATTTCAATGCACGCTCATTCGAAGTAACTAAGGTAAAAGATAGTCATCTGAGCTGCCAGTACCTGGTCACCTTTTCCGCAGTCTCACTTGGTCGTTTCCAGTTGCCATTACTGAGAAATCGCCGGACAAAACTTGCTTCTCGTGAACATATGAGCTCTCCCCACTGTGATTACTTACCTTCACTTTGCGTTCTCGACAAGCATCGCATGAAGGGTCTTTTCGCCGTTGCCTATACGCACGTTTCTGAGCATTCAGGTTCGCTGACGATATCTGAGTAGGGGATATCATTAAGCCAGCTCCATCATGATTCTGATCAGGGAGGCTTCCAGATGCAGTGCTGGGTGAAGTTGAGTGGCTGTACGAGTTTGAGGAGTATCCCGGTGACCTGGAACCGAGCTGTGGGACTGTCGGTGCAGTCAGAGTAGTCGTGCGAGCAGCCGGATGTGCCATTGCGAATGGGCTAGGTGGAGGTATCATGGTCCGTGGTGACTGCCCGCTCGACCCTGGTGGAGTCTTGCGCATGTTGACAGGTAATCAAAGCGCTTGTAGAAGGCCGAGTATGAAAGTTAAACTTCCCCTGTGGAAAAAGAAACTCCGGGTGAGTTATCGTGGTTGTGGGGAAGGAGTAAGTGGTTTCGGCAGTAGCCGAGCACAACCCTACTATGAACGGGCCAACGGTGTGAACAGCTCGTAGTACCAGGTAGACGTGGTCAACCAATGGAAACCAGTCATCAACGCATCATGCTGCCTTGGCGGGATGCGAGTTGCGGAGGGCGAGAATTTGTGAATGAATAAGATGACTAATAGGACCACTCCCAGAGTGGAGAAGTCGTGCAAGCGAGCGATAAGTTGGGTAGGTTGAGTTATTCGGGCATACAAGCCGGAAGCGCGATAGTCGGGTGTTCCGTGTCGCTTCAGTGAGTGTTCTCAGCCAGCCGCTCGGCTGAGTGGCCGAGATGCCACAGCTTTGGGTTAGGACCAATGACTAGGCTCACTGGATTGGATTGCGAAGTGGTGTGTGATGATTGAAGATCCACGGTTGTGAGGAAATGAGGGACACTTCGGCAGACGGCAAGGGTATACGGAACGATATTAAATCTCGGCAAAGATCCGAAGGAGGAACGCTGGGTAATTCAGGGCTGTCGTATGGGGCGAGTCTGCTAGTCGTAATGCTGCACTGATCAGCTCCATACCTAGTTGCAGCGATATTCCGACTAGCACACCTTCTGGTAAAGCGGGAGAAGGTCCTTGTCCAGTCGCCACGTTTCGATATCGGATGAGTGTTATGAGCGGCGCTGAGGATTGGCGAAAGTGCTTCGTCCAAAGCACGTGTCGACTTGGCGGTGCGCTGAAATGAAAAGGAAGTTCGGGGACCCTGTACAGGTCTCCTTACCCTGGAAAAGTTGGGCAATTTAGCAAAGCTAGTCCAAGAACAACGGTAAGAAAGCTTCTCGTGCATTCGACATACCAGTATACGGGAGTGAGCAAAGTTTATTGCGGGTCGATAGTGCCACAGATGCCCAGATATGTCGTTTGGTTTCCGTCAACCAGTGGGCCCATAGAAGTCGTGCACCACTATCTTTTTGTGTCTCGTGAGTACTGCCCAATGGCTCCGTACACGCCTATAGCTGAAGATGCTACTTCGACTGGAATGAGATCAAGCGATTGTTCTAGCTCGAATCCTACACGGGCTGGTAGCTCCGTTAGTAGACTCGGACGTAGATCCGGATGGTTAGTCTTACATGACAGCTTGTCCGGCTCTGATGAAGCCTTATGTTCCAGAAGATGATCGGTTCGTGCCTAAATGCCAGGCGGTCCACATGGCTTCACCCAAAACGTTCAAGGCATACCTTTTCGGCGAGATTTATACAGGGGTCTACCTGCATGTGGCATTGAAGAAAGGCCCTTCGCTAACGCCTGTAGCGATGGCAGATGCACACGGGATTCCGAGTCTGCAGCACGAGGATTATTCGGTTGAAATGCTCTGGACTACCAAGGATGATGGCAAACGAGGCGCAAATCGGTGTTTTTTTCGCCCATCGAGCGGATAGGAACACCGTCATGGTGGTTCACTAGCGATCACTTCCGACAGGTCTAGTGGGGTTCACGGACACTGTAGCCAGACCTGCTGAGCCACAGCACGTTGAGTGGTGGATTCACCGTGCACGGCAAGCCACAGCCACAGCAAGTGCCGTAAGTACTCCGATTAGTTGATGCATTTGACCTACGTAATCCTCACACTGATGTCACTAAGAACAAGATTGTTTTGTGCTAGGATTGTGAAAACGTCTCACCTCCTTTGGTAGGTGCAACAAGCGTTGAGGCAACACACTTCCTTGTTCTGGATACTGTTCCGAAAGCTGTTCTGCCCATGTCGCAGGAAAGCACCCTTGACCTTGCGGCGCCCGTCGACAGGTGTGGCACGGCTGCTTGCAAAACGTGGTTCCCCACGTTGCAGCGCGTGTCCGCGCCCGTCGCGGAAGCCCCACAGGCAAGGCCAGCGTATCGCTAGACCGTCCTTCAGGTTATTCTATGCTTGGCGTAGACAGCGTTCCGGCCAGTCAAATGCGATGTGAAAAGCTTTGCGAAGCCGAGGTGACCAGAAACCAGGTCAAGGCGGGTGGAAATTTACTTCCAACTGCCGAACCGCTCGTCTAGACCGCGGAGTTGATGACCCTCGCCACCTGAAACTGACAGCTGCCGGATAGCAAGCCCGGATCGGTGCCTTACGAGGCTTTCGACGGGCGTCTCAAAAAAAGTTGCCATGTTTCTGATGCACGGCAGGCAACGTCGTGGCATCCGCACGAGCGAGCACCAATCTCAGTGGTCTATAACATCTGTTGAGTATGTCGATCTGGCCGTGCACGCCAACAGGGAGACCCGCAAAATGCTTCTACTGCATACACGATTTGGGCCTGCAACTCGGAGTTTTGATCTTTTTATAACCTGTGCGTCGTTGCACATGTCGCGTGGAGCGGGCAACACCATATGTTACATGCGACATGTGCCGTCAAGTATCGATTCAATGCTGTCCTCTCTGGCTGCATAGTCGTGTGTTTCCGCCGTTGAGGAAAACTCGAATGACAGTGGTAAAAGATCTACGAGTCTGATCGCTCGTTGATCATCTATGATTGCGCGGCCCCCTGACGGGTCGGTAGCTTCCGTCAAAGGAAGGCAGCCGATGGGATTTCGAGAAAGGCGACTGGGATGACAGGATGAGTAGCGTGCTGCGAAGCCGGTCATCTGCGAGAATGGGCCGAATGCGTCTTGGCGGACCCGAAGTTGAGTTCTGCAACCCGAGTTTGACATGAGATCGGCCCTCCGATAAGGCGCCGTTGGAGGTAGGCTAAAATTTCGCCGACGATCTTTCGCCTGGCGGTTTCCAACTACGACGATCAGCACATGTCAGTCCTAAGTAGGGATTTATGCAGAAAATCTTTCAAGCGCTTGGAGAAAGAGGAAGGCTTGTCGCTGGCGGGCAGATGGAGATGTGCGCGATTCGGAGTCGCGTTGGGGTAGAAGTGGCGACGTGACAACGCGTCCATTTCGCGGCAAAAACTCCAGGTCGGCGAAGAGAGCGAGAACAGCATCCGTCGACAGGATGGCCATTTGAAGGATTCACCATGTCGCTCCTGCAATGTCCACAGTTCTCTTGGTGGTGGGGGATGATGTTGGAACAACGTCAAGTTCTTCGCACCTTCCATCCCGCCCTCGGACCACGATGCCGGTGTTGACGGTCATCAGTATAGGTAGGCACGATGCTTCTGTACCTTCGCTCCTCTGTATCTTCGCTCGAGTGCTGCATCTCAACAACTGGATAGCACTGCATTCGCTTGATACCAAGGCGCGATGTCGTGGTTTTGGGAGACGAGACATGTTCCACACCAGTGTCCGCTATTCGCCTTGTGTGAGGCTTATAGATTGCTGCATACCGAGAGGCGGCAACCTTAACTAAACCCCCAAGCAACGGTCTAGACTTCCTGCTGTGGCGCTGTTCATGGTAGTAGCTTTTGGTCGATTCTGAACCACCTCATAGAAGACTAAGACCACAAGGCATCACATCGCCCTCTGTTTAGCTACAGGTCATCGCGCACGTATTCACAACGGGTACTTGGGACACAATTCTAGCAAATCGTCTTAACGGCTTTTCTACGACATGCAGGTGCACACGACCAACTACCCCTCATACGGGACTTAGCGCAAGGTACAGCCTCGGTACATAACCTAAGCATTGATGCAACTTCAGATAACGACGTCAGCACCGAGGTCACCACAAGAGCAATAGTAATCTACGATTAATCAACCCTTCATTTCACAAACATATCCATATATGAGCATTTTTGTTGCATGCATCGCTCTGTAACCATAAGTCCTCAAAAGCCCCATTAAAACAACCATGGCATCTGCGCAACAAGATGTGCAACTGCACGACTTCCCCAACATCTTTAGCTTGAAAGGCAAAGTCGCAGTCGTGAGTGGCGGGTCGCGAGGCCTTGGTCTGCACGCAGCATCTGGGTATAAACTCTTTTCCGCCTGGTGTCACCTTCCTAATCCTCTCCAGTCTTCTCCAGGCCGGCTGCTCCAAGATATTCATCACCTCACGCAAAGCCGACGCCTGCGACGCTGCCGTTGCAGCTCTCAATGCGCTCCCCAACAAATCCCCTGGCGCCCAGGCTTACTCCATTCCTGCAGATAGCTCTAAGATATCTGAGATCGATCGTTTAGTGAAAGAAGTGAGCAAACATACTGATCACGTGGATATCCTCTTTGCGAATGCAGGAGCTACGTGGGGCAGTACGTTTGAAGAGACCGACGAGAAGAATGGTTGGGATAGAGTCATGGATTTGAATGTAAAGGGCGTCTTCTTTACCATTCAGAAGTGAGTTGTCCCCTTCCCTGTTCACCTCAATGTATCGGGAAGACTTGAATGAGAGGCATGAAAGAGTTGACACGATTTAGATTCACACCCTTGCTCACAAAATCTGCAACAATGCAGGACCCCTCGCGGGTCATTGTAACAGGCAGCGTAGCAGGAATCGGTACTGGTTCCCTCGGCGAAACAGGCGCTTGGTCATACGCCGCTTCAAAGGCCGCAGTCCTCCATCTTGCACGTAACCTCGCTGTCGAACTAGGGCCCAGGCATATTCTTGTGAATGGAATTGCTCCCGGATTCTTCATGAGTAAAATGGCGGGCGTCTTGATGGAGAAAGCAGGTGGTGAGGACGCACTGGGAAAGAGCAATCCGAATGGGAGGACGGGAAGGCCAGAAGACATCGCTGCTGCGGTTGTGTATCTGAGTAGTAGGGCTGGTGGTCACGTCAACGGTGATACGATCGTGCTTGATGGTGGAAAGATTCATGGAAGTAACAAGCTGTAGAGGCTATAACAAGCACTAAGCCTCGCCTGAAGGAATACACATTCCATGCATCCCCCGATATCCACTCTTCTCAGGCTTCTTCCATCCTTTCAGTGCTTTCTCTTTTACTGCCTCTTTAATTTCGTACACCTCGACCCTGATGGGTCGGCATGTACTCTTCATTCCTTCGTCGTCTTCTCCCTCTTTCTTCTCTTTGCTCCCACTAACCTCCTCCGCCTGAGTCCAGCCCCAGCGACTCAGGTCTCCACCGGGACATGTGCTCAATGCGCACAATAAGTCCTGCTCGGCGAAGAATGTAAGGAAACTATCTTTCGTTGCAGGGCTAGCTTCCATAAAGTAACGACCTTGGGAATCTAGTCCGGTGACTTGGAATACATTAAGCACATCGTGCACGTCAAATTCTGTGAGACCGTAGGGAAGAACAGAACGGACAAGGTTGGAGTGACAGTGGTAGTCGTAGGAAGCGCCTGTCAGCACGTTCCCAACTGCAGACATCGTTAGCAAGCTCACCGTCACCGATTCGGGCCTATGCAAACAGAACTGGAGAATGTGCAGACGGAAACGCCGCTACGACTATGCTGAGAAAACATACCATAAGGATCACACCTCGTCCCCAATAGATCATTACACCTTCCACCCCACTTTGTAACTCCACCCCTCTCATCCCTACTCGCTTCCCTTCCACTCCCATTCCCCTTCCCATCACTATCCCTAATCTCACATCCATCTTCCACAAGCCCACAAAGTGGCCTCATAAACGGCAAACAACTCCACAGCCTATCACCCTGTACCACATGGCTTCCCTGCAACTGCCTTGTCCTGCTGGCCCAGAACTTCTCTCGGGGATCATGCTGGTTCCAGACGTTCAGATCGCCTACTTGCGGGCCTTCTGGGGTCGAAAGGCGGAATATGGCGCCGGCAGGTACGGTCCAGGCTTTTCCGCTGCGGGGTGGGACGACAAAATCCTGGGTTTTGGTCAAGTCATTGTCGGGGGAGAGACCGCGAAGAGAGGTGTAGAGGGCTGTTGGGGGGTGAAGGGGGGAATCAGCGGAGGTGGGGAAATAGGCTGGGGCTGGAGGAATGTCGGTGCGGTCGTTGGCTGCCATAGTGACGATGAGAGGGATATGTTAGAGAGATTCGGTGTATCGTGCAGGGGTTCACACGTGTATTGATATGATGATACGGATCGGAGTGGTAGATGTGGTTCGGTCCGCGATATGTCCCTTATCGGGGTATCTTTACGGAGTAGAACCAACAGGTATCCACTCCTACACATTCATGAGCCGGTGATAAGCGTAGTATCAGAAAGATAGGCCGATGTCGGATGTTTCTTGCCGTTGATTAGAATTGAATATTTGACTCGACAGCTCTATCGCCGAGAGTTCTCAGCCGGTTACCTGTATGAACATGTAGTATGCTCATGTTCTGTCACCTCCTATAAATCTTTAGATTACATGACGGTGGTTGACTGTACACTTATTCCATTCAACCTATTTAGCACTTTTTGAACACCAATCTCCCAGCCTTTTTGAACCCAAATGCTATATGCGATGTTTATGAAAATAAAGCCTGAACAGTGAAACATAAGAAGACCTATGGAGCTTACACTCCCGCGCTCTTCACATCCGCTTGATCGCCATTAACGGCTGCTTCAAGCTTATCCACTATTGTGCTACCCTCTTTTCGGCTGGGACTTGATTCTGGGCTGGGGATCTCGAGCGTATTCGATCGCTTGGGGCGGAAGGGAATGGGTGTGGTAGGTCTCGATGAAAGGAACTGTGCTGTGTTAGACGAAGAGCTTTACAAGAAGAGTGAGTAGGACTTACTGAGGAAGCAGCACTCAGCATCGCGATGAGAGAAGCTTGAACCACATCCTGGTGAATACCGACACCCCAGACCTTCTGACTGCTTTGTGCAGCTGTGCAACCAATGTAAGTTGCAGCCTTTGCGTCTTTGCTTGTACCGATGGTGTGCTCGTTGTAGTCTACAACGTCAAGGTCGATGCCCAGACTCCTCAGTGCATCGGCCAGCGACGACAGCGCACCAGTACCCGATCCCTGGATCTTGTGTTCCTGGCCGTCAATTTCGATGACACCATTGAAGATTCGGCGCAGGTTGCGGCTGCTGGCTGTTCGGCCGTCTTGTGGAGGCAAAGGTGTCTCTGAACGATCGGCCTTGATCTCGTAGTCGACCAGAGAGAAGCGGGGGTTGCGCTTGAGGTGGTAGGCCTCTTCGAAGAGGTTTGTGATCTCGGTAGGCAGGAGTTCGCGGCCGAGCATGTCTGTCTCCTTTTGTACGACCTTGGAGAAGGCAATTTGGAGACCACGGGGAAGGTCGAGTTCCAGCTGGCGTTGAATAATCCAGGCAATTCCGCCCTTTCCACTCTGCGAGTTGACACGGATGATAGCTTCGTATGTGCGGCCAATATCTTGCGGATCCAGGGGCAGGTATGGGATCTGCCACCGGCTCTCGTTGGTCGCGCCGTTCTTCTTGCGCATCTGGAAGCCCTTCTTGATCGCATCTTGATGTGAGCCACTGAAGGCGCACACGACAAGCTGACCTCCGTATGGTGCGCGGGGATGTATCGGAATCTTGTTGCAGCTCTCAACCATATCGATAATTGACTTCAGATCCGAGAAATCAATCTTTGGATGTATGCCCTGGGTGTACAGGTTCAGGCCCAGCGTAACGAGATCGACGTTTCCGGTGCGCTCTCCGTTGCCAAACAGTGTGCCTTCTACTCGGTCTGCGCCCGCCATTTGTGCCAGTTCTGCTGCTGCAACCGCGCATCCTCGGTCGTTGTGTGGGTGCAGAGAGACGCAAATCTTCTCCCTCTCGGAGATGTTCTTGCAGAAGTACTCGATCTGGTCGGCGTAGACGTTGGGCGTCGACATCTCTACGGTGGCTGGGAGGTTGAAGATGAGTGGGTTCTCTACACTTGGTTCCCATGCCGCCTTGACAGCCTCGCAGACCTTGATGACGAACTCTGGGGATGAATCTGAGAAGGTCTCTGGTGAGAACTCATATGCCCATTCTGTACCGGCTTGCTCGGGATCATCCTTGGTTATTGATCGCGCGTACTTTGTGCATTCGACCGCGAGTGCAATTGTCTCATCGTCGTTCATGTTGAAGACAATCTGCTGGAAACACGGACTGGTCGCAAGGTACAGGTGGAGGATGGCCTTGCGCGCACCCTTGAGGGAGTCGACGGTGCGGCGAATGAGCTCTTTGCGGCATGGCGAAAGGACCTGAATCCATACATCGTCTGGTACTATGCCGGGCGTTTGGATGAGGCGTTGTGTGAAGTCGAAGTCAGTTTGCGACGCGGACGGGAATGAGACTTCAATTTCCTTGTAGCCGAGCTTAACCAGCATGTTGAAGTAGTCCCATTTTTGCGCGCCATCCTGAGGTCCGTGTCAATTCCGCGTACTCAAGTGACTACGTTGATAGGGTCGTACTTACCATAGGATCTACTAAACTCTGGTTACCATCTCTCAGGTCGGTTGACAGCCATCTTGGTGGCTTTTCAATTGTCTTGCTAGGCCATGTCCTGTCCGGCAGGTTCAACGGCTTGAAAGGTTGGTATTTCTTCCATGGCTCCTTGAGCATCGGCATCTTGTTGGAGATTGAATCAGCGAGTTGCTTGAGGCTCTACTCTGGACAGTTGACTATCGTTCTTTGTCTCCAAAAAGATGAAGAGTCAAAAGGATATCTTGCGTGTGTTCACGGCGAGTCAACACTTTCTGAGTATTGGAAAGACGTAAGAGAAGAGCGCGCAGGCAGGGTATTAGTACAGCGAGAGGTATGATTCACCGTATGATTCACAACAAAAGAAAACTTTGGTCGGTGATACTAAGCCTCTAAGCCGGCCACTGGGACTGGCATATGACGATGCGGGGCGCAGAAATTCGCTTGCACGCGCCCTGTGCATTCAATTGCGGGGTCCGATTTCGGGCTGCCTGAACTATTGCAAGCCGACAAATCAACACAGCCGGATTAATTGTTTACGAAGCGTTCGAGGCTCAACACGAAGACACGAAGCATGATGACCGAGGTGCGCATAGAAGTGGTGAATGTTTACAACCGCAAACCTGTTGTTTGTAGGAATTCCTTTTCAGCCTGTGAGTGTGACAGACTGCGGGTATTCCAGGCACATACCCATAGAGAAACGCACACTAATGCAATGGAGCGGATTGCCCGCGACAAGTAGATTTCCATTGACGTACACCACACCAGTTTGTCCTCACCGTTAACACCGTTCACTCAACCGGGAGCCAGCCGATTTGTGGCTAGCCAAGCGCTTCCAGCTCAGCTAGAAGATAGGGACCCTTAGACCGCAGCACTCGACCTCACTACCCTTGACCCCAATAGTGCGCCCAAAGTACAGACTACCAAACTCCTGTACAAAAGCGCGGTCAGCCTCTGACCATGTGTCTAGTCCCATGCGCGACAGGTCATCTCTATCAACAACCACTGCATCGCTATCATTATCATCCTCTTCCCTCTCGCCTTGGGTATCCTCCTCGATAATTTGCGATAGCGACCGTATGAGTAATGAAGATTGGCGGTGAAAGTAAGCGATGATTGCTGTCTCCAACGACTGCGAGTACGCCGAGAGGTCACCAATCAGCTCACGATCTGTCTCTCGCTCCGCGGTCGTGTATGCATCTCTCTCGCCAGCCGAAGCCCACCACATGTAGCCCATGTATGCAAGCCTTGACCATGTTGTTGGCTCTACCGCCGTGTCATCGTATGCTTCGCTGAAGTCGTCGTCGGCACGCTTGGTATCGACCTCATCTCGGGATAGTAGGGGCGCCGCATCATCGTTTTCTTCGTCGGTATATGGCTCGGGTGACGTTTCCGATCTGTTACGCTGTTTGAAGAGCTCTTTGTGTAGTAGCTTGTAGCGCGCAACGTCCCGCTGGCTGGCCTTGATCAAGCTGCCATCGCTGGTCCGTATCCGTGGCCAGCGTCGCTCTTGCGGCGGCGCGTCATTCGTGGGTGGCAGTTCGACAATGATGTCGTACAGTTGTGTCTTTGTGACGATGATCTCATCAGTCGTGCACGCGACCCAGCCCTCTGAAGGCTCAAGGCCAGGTGTGTGTCCGCCATCTTTGGGGTTGCGATGATGTTCGAGAAGAGGAATGTCGTGTACGCCGACTGAGAAAAGGGAGGGTAGACGCAGGAGGTTTTCGGTTTCTGGCGCTAACCGTTCGGTGTCGCGGGGCGATATGCTAGAGAGGACAGAGAGGTTATAGACTGACCCGTTAGCTGAGAGAAGCCCAGGTATGATATCCAAGACGTACCAAACTCGCAAGCGGTCCTGACCGGCGGGATGCCCACAAAGAGAATGCGTTTCCTCAGCAAAGCCGCCTGTTGCAGCCGGAAGACCAATGGCCCGAATATGTCCAGGAAGCGCTGTATCGACAGAGCTGGGTGGTAGCCTGGGAGGCTCTCCTCGTCTTTCATGACGGCGCTCACGGTCGAGATTGCGCGCGCTCTGCTGTGACCCTTGGACTCGCCTTCGTCGGAGACATCCCCTTTGCCGTGTCTTGAGACCTGTTCCTGCCAGAATTCTTCCAACGGCGTTACAGCTTCCGGGTCGTCCGCTAGGGTCGCAGCCAGTCTCTCCAAGCGACCGGCAAGCAGCCAACTCCTTCCCAGCCTGCCAAATTTGCCCTCCTTCTGTACTAGTATTCCAACAGAAACGAAGGTGGCGTTGCGATCCTCTGCGCTGGCGTCGCCCTTTGCGAACGCGCTGAGTCCAGCATATCCATCATGGGTAAAGTAGACGAGGTCATTTTGCACCGAGTGTAAACCCGAGGGCAGCGATTTGTATTCAACTGAGTTGTCTAAGGTGATGTCCGGTGTCGTTGCGCGTTTCCAAGCAATGGTGTAGCTGTAGCTGGTCAGCGCCTAGCTCCGCGATGGTACTCTACCTGTCCAGTGTCGCATGACGTACCCAACTTTCTTGTCGAATTTGATGAGGAACAACGCTTCAACCCGAGGCGCATCCTCATTGTGAGAGTCTACATTAGTTGTGCTCGACTCAGTCGAGGCCGACATGGTGGTTGAGGGTTGGTTGAAGGCTAACAGCTGCTGAGCAGGCTGCCGTTGGTGATGCAACAGTCGCTAGGAACGCGTCGCTTAGCCTCGTCCGTCATCCCTGAGGTCTCCAGAACTTCTCCCAACACTTCATACGCCATCCCAAATTCGAGAACCCCAGAACCTTGTCAGTGCTTGATGGTAGATTGCGCATTAGATGACGGAATCTCACGATGCAGAACTGGAGTGGGGTTAAGACATTGCGGTTCTGCCGGCGGTCGCACGCTTGCAAATGTACACGGAAGAGTCGGACACGCTGACAATGGTCTCCTAGTTCCTCCATGTCAGAAATAGTTCATATCGTGGATTCAACCGTCGCATTTACGAAATAGCGTTACAGGTTACTACATTGCTGCTCTGAAGCCTACCCGACTGCTCTCGATCAACAAGTCGGATGCGCATTCCGGAATTTATAGCCTGTTACAAGAGCGACTATGTGAAAAGCCTGGCCTAGGACAGCACAGATATGATGTATCTGGTGAGAGTGGCCCCATATATCGAATGAGCCGGGGCTGAGTCGCTCTGGTAGTCTTCCAACGAAGCAAGAAACTCCAAACAATAAGACCAATCCTTCAGTAAGATACCACTGAGCGCCGATTTCTTCACATGCACGACTCCATCCAAGTTTGCCAATGCCGTGGAAAATTGGAAGCATGGCTGTGATCGCAAGCGCACTAAAAGTACCACCACGAAGCGTCCTCATCTTGTTTCCACCACCGCCAGTATCGAACAGTACGACAGCAGCGGCGACAGCAGCGCCCCCATTGAGGCACCAGTATACGCGCTGGGCTATGGGATCACAGCGAGCAGCATAATAAGTGGCCGATGACCCCCCACCCAGAGCGAGGAGACATATGCCGAAGATGTCGAAACGGCCCCAGCGATGGTGAATGCTGTAAGAATGACTCCGTAGTGTGTGAAACGTCGTACTGAGCCCGAAGCACAGAGCTGCCGCGCTTAAAGAGATGCCAAAGGCAAATCTGTCGCCAGTGGTGAGATTGAGTCTGCTCGAGATAGCAGATCTGTGCAAGGTGATGCCAGCCCCAACAAATGCAGCACTGCCCAGAAGATGGGTCCAGATGTTCATCGTTTCCATATGAAGGCAACGCCAGAGACGAAAGGACCTCTTGTATGAATGAGTTGGCATGGGATGTCCGCTGATGATGAAGTCATTATCTTGGAGCCATCCTGGGATATCGTCTTTTGTTCCTATCATAGGCCAATACGGTTCGGCATCTTTCTTGTTGTGTAGTATTGGGGAGTCGCTGGAACCCGACGATGTGGAAGCTGGTGAGAGTATTGCATCCTTGACCATGTTAACAGCTTCAATGTGTTGCGATTCCAGAGTTGGCGTTGGAGTTCGGGCAGTCATGGCATTATGAAGGGGACATGCGTCTTGGACGTGGTGTCAGCTACAGGCAACAATCGTGCGAGGAGAACATGTGGGGTCGAAAACTTAACTCGCTTGGGCCTGATGTGTTTCGGTAACCTTCGCGCCTGCCAACCGGCGCTATATGATGCGTGTTCGTTGGCTCGGTTAAGCTTCAGTTCATCTCCGTGTCGTATCATCGCGCCACGGTTATCGCTGTGAAGCGCATTTGGTATCACATGGGAGTACGAGTACAAGTTTGTTCTACCCAGGCAATGCACTTTGCCTTCCTTCGCTCGGAAAACTGGAAGAAAAGCGACAGTGACAGGGTACGCTTCAGCGACCTGATCCGCATTCTTCATATCTGAGACACGTGGTGATGGTGACCGAGCTGTAAAGGATGTAACCGCCCCCAAGGGAAGCGCTGCAGCCACAAGCCCCCTGCATGTACCCTTTTTTGTTATGATCATATTGACCACATACATGTACTAGCATGTACCGTCTAGGAGAGCTGATTCAGTCTACATCAATCATGACCAACAACGCTGTAACTATCGTACACTCGACTGTATCAGGGTGGGTGTCGACCCCAGACAGTAGAGGTACGATGGATATCATCTGGTCCTCTTTTCCGACCATCTTTCTCTGTACATGGACAGCTGTCTGTCTCAACATTCCTCATCCAAACGACTCAAAGCGCGACGTCTTCATCCGCAAAGCGAAATGGATGTTCTGGGCCATAGTCGGGCCTGAAATCGTCCTTGCCGTCGCTATCGGACAGTACGCATCCGCTCGACGATCGAAGAAACGATTCCATCGCCTCGGTTACAAAAATTGGACGATTCGACATGGCTTCTTTGCGGACATGGGAGGCATTCTGCTTCAGCCAAAGGAGAGCTCTCCGTTCGTTGTCAATGGTCGGCAGTTAGCATACCTTGTTGAGAAGGAGTACATTAAGTGCCCTGATATAACGGCTGAAGAGATATGGGACAAGTCCAAAGCCGATACTTTGGGGAAGCTCATCACTTTGGTCCAGGCTAGCTGGTTGGTGATTCAGCTGTTGGGTCGGGCAGCACTGCGTCTCTCTACTACGACCTTAGAGTTATCAGCTGGAGCTATCGTATTCTGCACGTTCGGAACTTTCTTCTGTTGGCTGCACAAGCCAGCTGATGTACAGAGAGGCATTGTGGTTACCACGGATGTTACAACTGCCCAAATCCTGATTGACGCTGGTTCCCGTTGCTGCAGCACCATATCGACATACTCCTCTCGACTTCGTTGCGAGAGAGTCTTTCACTTGCAGCTACGACGTTATGGGCTTTGTCAATCGTCGTTGGGATCATCCGGAGCGGCCACTGAGAAAGTTCCCGAACGATCGTTTTCCCGACATCTGCACATTCGAGAAATTTGCGCTGTTTTGCTTGACCTCAGCGTACGCTGCTTCACACATGATCGCGTGGAATTTCTCGTTTCCGACACAAATAGAGCTTCTGCTGTGGCGTATATCTAGTTCGCTATTTACAGGAGTCACTGTATTTTTCTGGATTTTCGAGACGTGTGCGGCTCGACAGCGATTTGGACGCTGGGACAAATACCTTATCTGGCTTCGACTGAAGAAGAACCCAGACGCGTTACAGGCAGACGAAGAAACCGTCAAAGTTCCCACGCGCCAGGATACGATCAATCGTCTGGACGCTTTCGAACAAGAGCAACGCAAAGCTAAGCCTATATTGATGTGGGAACTCGCGCTTCTTGCTCCTGTTGTGCTTCTGTACTCCGCCGCGAGAGGTTACATGATAGTGGAAGTCTTCGTGAGTCTTAGAGAAGTACCAGTCGGGGTGTACAAAACGTTTGAGGTAGCAGAACTGATCCCTCATTGGTAATGAAGACCTTTGCATAAAAACCTGTTCAAGTCTTAGAGTAGCACGGTATAATCTTTCATGCATAATGAGGGTGATGAATTTTGATACAGTTCAGGTATTCGTATGATACCGGCCCTTCAGTGGTGAGACTGCAGTCGAGCTATCATGCTGTGGCGGCTGTCGTGAGTGGTGGAACCTTGGGTAATTATCGTATTTATGACAGACGTACTTACACGCATGGCCAATTTCGGATCGCTTCTTGCTTGTGATGCGCATAGATCTTGGTACGAAAAGTCATTGGCACAAAACTAAGGTACGGGTATCAGAATAGGATAGCATTTGCAAACCTTCGTAAGGGTTGTTTTGTTGCGTGCAGCAGCGCTCGACCATAACCCCACACCAGCCTAGGCGCGACTTCGGCCGTTCTTCTAGCAGGAGGCACCACCCTGTAGAGAGCATGCCTGTTGAACGCATCCTTCGATGTAGTCGTAATCCGAACAGCTCCGCACAGGGTCTGTGGTTGACGCGAATGATAATGCTGGAATAGTAGATGACTGACGTCATGTGGCTGGCGCGCTAGCTCCTGGCAGCCACAGCTCTGAGTTGTGCGTGCCTCACCTGTCACGCACCCTCACGAGCCTTGCGTTGCCTCACCCGTCCATATTACTATGACTGGTCTATCCGCGCATAGTCATTGTGTCTGAGTAGATCGCTACCCAAGCCTTCGCGCTAGTTGTCTGTTCGAGGCGTCGTAATGTCCTCCTATCGGGACTTAGCGCCACGTCCACAAGATGTGCCTGCCGTCGCGCCTGGCAACAGTAGAGCGGGATCTGTTAACAGGACCCCTTCGAGAGTGGCGGCAGCTTGCACCACATGCCGCGCGCGGAGAACCAAGGTCTTTCACCCAATTTGTTACTAAGGCTGACAAGGTTTCTCTAGAACGGAAGCTAATCTCAAACAGTGTGATGGTGAGAGACCAGCCTGTCGTTCCTGCGTGGAGCGAGAGACGACATGTGGATATGATCCACCTACTGGCACATTGCTCGCTCAGGCGCAGAAGAGAAAGATCGAAGAACTAGAGACCGACAGGAGCTCGTTATATGAAGTCCTGTGGTATCTACAGACAGCCTCTCCGTCCAAAGCTACAGCATTGTTGCGACACATGCGAGCTGCTCAGGGTGAAGATCTTGGCGTCATCTTCAGAAACTTCGAAATGAATCGCCCCAGTTCTTCCATGTCTGCAGCAGCTCCTGAAACCGATGCCAGCAAGGGCTATGCATCATCGGTAATAAACGATTCTTCCTCTTCGGTAATGCTCTCTATGCCAGAAGTCATGGACCATCCCAACTTCTCCGTTGCTCAAAAAAAGCAGTTTAACATGACGGCCATTACTCTGCTTGCTCCGAACCAGCAAGATGCATCCGTCGACAAGATCAACGGCCCGCTCGATATGTTTTTCGGCTGTGTGGGTGCGCTTTTCTACATCATGAACAAGGATGACGTTCAGATAAGCATTGCAGCAATGAAGGCTTCAGGTAATGGCCATATACCACTTGGAGACGTGCTCACCAACGGGAGTAATATACAACTGCGCACATACGCCGCAGAGCTTGCGGGCATGGCAGCCATCGGCGTCGTTCATTCCCAACTCGCTGATCCCGAAACGGCGCCGCCACCTGAACTTGCCGACTACTTCTATGCAGTCGCAAAGCATGGGCTAGACTCTGCCATATCGTTCAGTCCGCTTCGAGCAATGAAAATATGTTCGTTACTTGGAATGTACAATATCGTGGTCAAAGCCACAGTCGCTCTAGCTTATATTGGTATGATTCTACACCTCAACATTTCCATCGGAAGTGTCACGACTTACCAGTTTCCAGGACTTGGACTAAGTCTACCCCGTAATCAGAAAATTAGTCTTAAAACTTGCCCGCCAGGCTGGTCTCTTAGTTACTACGAAGATATTCGCCGCACATATAGGACTCTTGTTCATTTGCAATGGTGAGTACTGATCTCGAATCAGATACAATCTGTTACGATATTGACCCTTGCATCAGCTGGCTAAGCGCATCACTTGACCATGATTCAGATCCGGTGATTCAGGATATCACCTCAACTCAAGACGAATTGGACGTACCACCAGAAGACATGATCCGTCGTGAATGCGTCAAAGTGTCCATCATCAAGGCAAGCTTGCTTCGTCGCCTACCAACAAAAGCCCCTGTGCTTGAAGGTACCATACTTGAGTACCGTGTACGATTGTCGAGATTTCATGCGCGTCTTCCCGATTGGATGTCAATTGCTTCCTTGTTAGGGGGCGAGAACACTGAACTCATGGCCACGTTCCGTCCCGTTATATACTACGTCCATCTGTTCTACCTGTCAGCCATGATGCTGCTCTCAAGGCGGCTAATTATAGCATATATCCCGCTGGATGCGATTGGGAGCGTAACTCTTCCATCGGAAGCACAACGAGCCATCGAAGAAGGTTACCAGGCCGCGGAAACGAACGCTTCCGTTATGGATCTGATGTTACAGGAAGGCAAAGTAGTACAAGTATGCTGGCTGTGCATGTACGTCAAACATATGCTATGAGCTGGAAAGATGCTAACAATACATCTTAGTTATACCTCTTACACGGCGGGTATCATGATCGCTCACAAAGCTTCGCAAAACGCACTGCACAACGAGCCATTCGCCCACGGCATGGTTCTGCTGAGTAAATATATCGGCGTTCTCGGATACTGTGCGATCAAGGATGCACTTGCTGGGAAGTTTCACGACATCCTTACTGAGCATATGAGTATGCTTCGACAATACGAATCTACTTTAGCTAGAAGCGGGAATTCTGCTACCCCTTCGTCTTCTTCATCGAACGATAGCCTCTTCATCTTCCAGCGCGGCTCTTCGAATCTCCATATCGCCGCTCTCAACTTGCTTCGAACCATACACCACCCGTTCGGTGGTCTGAGAGATGTCACAGCACAGAACACGCTCTCAAATCGCGCTGAGACAACCATGGGGACACATCTCGAGTGGGAGTACGAGCTTGAAAGTCGAGACCTTGCGCAGGCACGGCCGAAGGATAGTAAGCTGGCGGATACCGTTGACGCTAAGATCGAGTCAATGACTCCTCTTTGTTCGTCATCGGAGCAGGATGCCCCTATGCAGAAGCTACTGGCTCAGCCTCAGGGCGAGGCTTGGACGAAATGGACCCCCGCAACATGGCAAAATTCGTTCCACATGCCTCAAAAGTAGACTCATGAATGCATCGACATTTTATCGTGGAACCCGTTGGCTATCGAAACACTGGACGAACATGCTAAGGGATATATATACCCCATCCACCACGACTAGCCTGGCTTGTAGGCAGTTGGCATAGCGAAACCAACATAATTCATGATTCTAAGTTCAAAGACAGCACTTGGTATCGGAGCTCAATCTGATGTCCTTGTAATACAGGCCAAGGTGCAAAAGGTAGCGAACTGAACGAGGGTGATAAACCAATTATGCACCACATCTTACGTCATAACCCCGCTTTCAACTAGCAACCTTTGTGTGTGTCTGAATCGCGTTGCGAGACCATTACATTCGCGACTCTTTGAAGTTGTCATTTTTACTTCCCATCATGACGCATCCTGCACCCAGTCACGTTGCGACGAAGGATCTTTTCAAGCTAGATGAACGGACTATCATAAGTTTGGCTCACTGACCAGGAAACCCCCTAGATCTAACACGAACTTCAGTTTCGGGGGGCGCCGGTGCAGTAGGCACCGTCGTTGGTAAAGCGATCCTGGAGAGTGGCGGAGACGTCGTCTTCGTCGATGTCTCGAACCCTAATCCCAAAGCCTGGAGTACGCTAGCAACAGCAAGACCATCAAGTCTGTTATAACCATTTCTAGACTCGCTTCAGGAATATGCTAAAGCCAACAACACTTCCGCAACTTTCCAAACCCTTGATGTCCAGGATGAAGCCAGCATCACGTCAGCCTTCACCACCATCCGTACCACCCTCCGTCACCCGATCCGTGGCCTTGTCTCCTGCGCAGCGATCTCTGGAGAGAGCGATGCATGTGACTACCCCATTACGACATTTCGGAAGATCCTCGACATCAACATTTCCGGAACCTTCCTCATCGCCCGTGCTGTAGCAAATGAACTCCACTCCACTAATCTACCAGGAAGCATCGTCCTCTTTGCCTCAATTTCCGGTCACATATCTAACCACGGAATCAACACTGCCGCATACAACGCCTCAAAAGCGGCCGTACACCAACTCGCTCGTTCGCTCGCGGCGGAATGGGGACATCCGCAGAATACCTTCCCAGGAAGTAAGAACTATTCTCTAGACGAACTGCATGTGAGACGTGCACTGATTTTGTACACGTACTTTTTTAGGCACAGTCACAGAAACGAATCCGAACCCAAGCCAAGAGCCTCGGAAAATTTACCCGCCGATTCGTGTTAACACTATTAGTCCCGGACATATCGATACGCCCCTCAGCGCGGAGGCGCGGAAGAGGGGGCTGACAGAGGAGTGGGCTAAGCAGAATATGTTAGGGAGGATTAGCGTGCCCGAGGAGTTTCGGGCGCCCGTGCTGTTTTTGTTGAGCGAGGGGAGCAGTTACGTTACTGGTTCTGTGAGTCGATTCTGACACTCTGATCGAGAAAGGGACCCTGGAACTAATGAGAGCCTTCTAGGATTTGAGGGTCGATGGTGGACACTGCGCATGGTAGAAAGTGACTAGGAAGATATGCTGTTTCATTCATTCAGAGATCAAAGGTATGTATGTACAAGAAGAATTCTAAAAAGAACCGGGAAAAAATGTAGACCGGTTACTTTCCTACCACCAACGCCTCGCTTTCTCGTAGATTTCTATACAAAAACGATGCGATTTCATCAACCACCGAATTCTCGCTCCTAACCACGCGTGAAGAATAACAACCACAGGTCGTCTACTCGTTGATCCTGTGTTGCCAGACCTCTTGCTCCGCCCTCGCAGAGTAGGTGCTAGCACCAAGAATAGCCCTCATCTGGTCGACACCCGTGAAGAGAATCTGTCTGGCGACGAACCAGCGGATACCCTCAGTGCAAGGCGGGCTGGTCAAGCTACCCTGGTAGGTCCAGAACTCGTTGAAGTAGAGAACGCTCTCAAGCAGAGGTCCAAAGTCCATAGTACAGGGCTGCTCAACACCCATTTCCGCGTAGCCGATCATGGAAGGCAGTTGCTCGAAGAAGGTCGAGTTGTAGTTACCGGGATCGAGACGAATGGCCATGACGGCCTTTTCGTGGCCAGTGGCGTCGACGTGGACGAGATGGAGCTCGGCTTTGCTGCGATCACCACCAACGGAATGATCAGCTGGGGCGTGAATGTGCCAGCCCTTGAGGTAGACGGTCTCGTTGTCGTAGGTGAAGCTTGGGTGCGTTGTCCAATCAATCTCTCCCTCTACTACGGCCTCCTCGTGTGCGACAGTGAATGCGGGTCCGTAGCCCCAGTTGTAGAAGTTACCGGCGATGCTGCCGTTGTACTTGAACTTGGGCACATGGTTTAAGGCTAGTCCGTTACCGAGCGAGAGGGCGATTGGAGACTGTTGGGTTCCGGTTTGGCAGAGATGGTAGTCGGGGTGGATCCTTCCCCAGTTGAAGGATGCTTCGTAGGCCCAGTCGTTATCCGTTACATTGCCCGGAGTGACTTGTTGCTGTCTTGTGGTGAGGTGTACATGGCGTTTGGCGTTGGTGTGTTGAGGGCAGCTAAGCGCTGCGGGCGCCAGTGTGGCGGCGGCAAGAAAGATAGATTGGAATAGCATGGTGAGAGTGCAGATATTTGTGTGATAGGAGAGTGCAAAGAGTCGATTGGATGACTGGTTAGGATGCTGTGATATCGAACTTTCTTGTTGCTTGTGGACATCTTATATATAATGTAGAGAAGCCACAAAATGAGCGTCCGCCTTCACAATTCACGGAACTATCCTAGCTTTCTAAGCACAGAGCTCTGCCGTTTCCTACGAAGCCGCCAAGCGCACGATATTCACGTCTTTCCTGTGCGCCATGGAAGGTCTACCATCGCCAAGCACCCTATCTCTTTACTACCGTTGCGCAGCCCCCTCCGACTGCGCAGCAAGTACCATTAGCAAATGCACTTGGTTTCCTTGGGAGGCGGCACGAGCTTGTATGATGGAAACAAAACATTCCGGCCTACCCTCGTAACAAGCCTAGATGCTAAGCATGAACCCTGCTTTCACAAGAAACGCTTGGTTGCCGAGAGCCATAGCGCAGGGGCGAGATCGCTCCGTTGCCTTCTCCAGTTAATCCGGCGATCTTGGCGGGGAACGGTCGCGTGGCTCATGGCAATGCGTTAACACTGGGGGTTCAGCGAAGCGGAGACTTGGCGTGGAGATATCGTGACTATTGTGTACTGTAATAAGCACAGCGTTTAAGGATGCCGGGAGAGGCTGAGTTGCTTAAGATGATGACACGCAGCGAGGATGATACAGTCGGTCCGTCGCGGGAACGTCAAAGCGTAACCTTATCACTGCTTAACAATTCTTGACGCGTGGCATAAGCGTGATGCGACGACTAGGTAGCCTCGTAAACTGAAGACAAAATACAACTCACGGTCATCTGGAGAGGATGTAGATATTTCCACAAGGCGGAGCGGAATGGCCTAAACGGTTGCGGACCTAGACCCGTCGAATCACGCTGTGCAATATCCTCCACCATTAGCTTGCCCGCAGATCGATCCTGCCGTGCAGCTCCTCAGACGTGTGCCGCCGCTACTGAGCAAAAGTGTGTATAATTAATCAGGGAAATGCCACTCGCTAGAGCGAGGCACTGCTCAGTTTGTAGAAATCTCCGCCGTCAAGCCGGAAACAGTCGCTGAAACCGATGCAGGCCGACAACCGCTCTCGGATCTGTCATCAGTCGCCTCTGCGGCATTCTTGGTATTTGTAGCGTGGAGGGTGGCCAAGAATTCACTCCACCACAGAAGCCAAGAGACGGAATCGTCTGGACACGGTACGTACTAGAGGTGAGACGGGACGCGCAGCCCAGGGCAGTCATTTGATGTATGACGGTATGATGCTGCCTACAGAGGAAGGAGAGCAAATTATGTGGAAGAATGGAATCCGGTGTCTCCGACCTTGATGCCCAATTGGCTCTGCGTGCGCGCTTCGACATAGAACCACGAGGGACGGAGAGAGCGGACCAACAACCTTGAACGTTGGCGATCAGCTGGCAGTTGGGACCACTTAGTGAAGTAGAAACAGGAATCAGAACAGAGAGTTAAGAAGACCGCGACAGGGTATCAGAAGAAGGGCGAGCTTTCCGGAGAACGGATCTCGGAATTCCGCAAAATGCACGTTTTGTCCATGTTGGCTGACTTGTGCCCAAGGTATCCATTCAGCGGTTCGGCGTTATTCACATTGGGGTCTTACAGAGCAAACGATAGTGCATTCTTTGAGGACTCGTTGTCGCATTGGTGGTATAAGTCAGAAAACACCAACTCCTCGTACTGATGTAGATCACGGCGGTACCAAACCTTGGCGATCAGTAACCCGGCCATACTACCTCGTCGCAGTCAGGATGCGCGAAAGCACCATTGCTCATTTGGTACTCGTATTCCAGATCCGGCTGAAACTCCCAGTACAAGCTTTCAGCGTCGCTCGCCATCTTGAATGTGTATGCAGCTGCATCATCGTCAACGTATACCTTGGGGACACCATTGGCTGCTGCTGCCTCAATCTTGAGTTGGACATCGCAAGAGCGTTCCATGAGGGTGTAGAGGAACGCGGCTTCGTCAACGGTACCTCCCACGGTCTGTGTGGTGTCAGCTTCAGCTGGATGCGGAAAGGAGGCCACACGGTACATACCAGCAAGCCATGATTTCTCAGGACCATGCCTTTGCCCTTTGCCCCCAAAGCCGAGGCCAACTTCTTGCCCTCTTCTTCGCTGAAGACGACGCCACCAAAGTCTTCATATACGGCTTGTGCATCGCCGTAGAAGTAGCATACGTCCTGATTCAGCATTTCCAATGGCTTTGCAAAGGCACTCCACGCTTTGCCTGCCTTTCCATGACAGTGGCATGCCGCGTTGACGTCGGGTCTCGCCTTGTGTATCGCCGAATGTATAAGGAAGCCTGCTGCGTTTGCGGGCCTGCTTTGATTGCCTCCTACTACGTTGCCGTCGTAATCGACAAGGACCATGTCCGATGCCTTGAGGAGACCAAAATGCTTTCCGAGCGGGTTGGTCCAGAAAGTGTGTGGATTCTCGGGATCTCTCACACTAATGTGACCTAAAGGTGCGTGTACGAAGTCAGTCTATGTCTCACATGCAGTCCGTACAGGGGAATGGCTTACCGCTCATGCCTTCGGTCAGGCCGTTCCGTGCGAAGACGCGGAAAGCGCCTAGGGTACGTCAGATGAACTGTTTCAAATCGCGTGCGCATTGCACTGACCAGCCATGTGTGATAGTATCCATGCGCGATGCTTGTCATACGAGGAGAAGAGTGGGATTCCGGGGAGGCAAACACCCTGGGATATGGCTTGCAGCGGCGTCAATTCCTTGGTCGCGTCGTCTTTGGATCGTGGAACGACCTGCTTGGTTTGCGCGACGGGCGCTGGTTCGGCCTGGATAGCGGAGGGTGCCATGTTGGGATGGGATGGGATAGAGCCTAGCTGTGAATGAGTAGGTCGTGTAAGTTGCAATTGATCAAAACTAGGTTCGCGCGCTGCTTGAATGCGCGATTGATATACTACAGACGAGCGCTATCAAGGAAATAAATCTCCTTATCACTTCATAGGGCGCGTCGAGTGGAGAAAGGTGGGATGGCCGTCCAGTCGAGCTCAAGACATACTGCGGGGTGCCGCCCTAGTCGCCGGCCAAGCTTATCACCGGCTCTCTTTCCCCATCTACCTCTCATCACCTATCCATCGCCAAATCCATCCAGATCCATCCCGTTGTCCATCGTGCACGTAAACTGCATGTCAAAGATGTAATAAGAAAACACCAGGGTATACTTCTAGGTCGACCAAACCACAACGTGCTTCTTCGTAATCATGTCTTACTCGAAGCGAGGCTACTTACTTGCCTACACTTATCCCCACATACCGTATTACATTTCCAATTTCATTCTGCAACATAGCTTTCCAATGAGCTCTGTTTTACTCCACAACTCGTTCCTGATCTGATCCTCACAATGCAAAAAGATACTCATCTTACATTCAGAGAGATTCACGGTAGCCCTGAGGCAGTGCTCACTAGCATACGAGAGATTCAAGAGATCGCTTTGTACCGCAAGCAGCCCGACCAATCTCTATCGCTTCGCTTCCTCTCGTTGGCAGCCGAGAATTTGCCGGACCATCAACAGCAACCAGAGATTATCTATCTTCGCCTTTCACCCCTCATTCCGATTCCTGGACCATACCTGACTATCTCCTATACTTGGCAACGTTCTGGATCGACGGCTGATAAACCCCCACAATATGTTGTTCTCCGACCGGACGCCACGTCTTTCCAGGTAGCCCCAGAGTTGAATCGCGTCATACACCGTACATTACGCTTCGCTGCGCATCAATGTATACATTATTTCTGGCTCGATCAATTGTGCGTTGATCAAACAGATCGCTCAGACGTCGAGAACCACCTACAATGCATGAATAGAGTGTATGCAGAAAGCCAATGTGCTCTAGCACCCTTGTGTATACCTATATTAGATCAATGGATGCTCGCAGGTTTGACATCCAATCTTGATGATCTACGTACGGCGGAACTATCGGCAATTGAGTGTATTGTAGCCACTCTTGAACACCTTGTGCAGGACACGTGGTTCTGGCGGACCTGGACCTATCACGAACGACTATGTGCTCGCTCTGTGTACCTGGCCATCCCTCTGCACGGTATTCGTTCGGAAGCTACAGACACACGCGACTGCTTTGCAATCGAGGATGATCTGATCATTAACATAGAACACATACAACAAATCATACAAGTTTCGAGGAAGAACGATAAAGTACCTGGGGGAAAAGCGCAACCTTCACCAGCTCGAGAGCAGGCCAGGAGGCTTTGGGTGCTCTTTCGGGAGTTCTTTGTGGAGCGAACAATCATCACCAGCAATACGAACCCAATATTCTGGAATAGATACATCATGAAGGCCATAGACAAGCGTGACAACTTGGTCGTTTCCGATCGCCTAGCCATACATTCTAACATTAGGAATCACAACTGGCGATTGCGGACTACTCGGTTGCAGAATGCTCGGTACAGTTAGAGCACTTGCTTGCTGGTGCTGGTGCTCTCGAATTATCTTCTCTTCAACGACAAGTTATCAAGGGAACACTTTCGTCTTCCAATGGACCAAACCATCATGGAAGTAATCGGAACGATGGAGGCTTCGGAGCAATTGTGTCTCATACATAGACCTCCTAGCTCAGAAGGAGAAACCGTTATTGTATTTCCACTCTGGACCGAAGAGTTTCTAGAGAAGGTTACTAGGGAGTCAGAAGTAGATATTGACATTTGGATGAGTGGCGAAGGAACGCGAGTCGTTCGAAAGCGACCTGAAGGTGAAGTATCACTTCTGCCCCCAACATCCAAGTTATTGAGACGCGGAGCATCTCGCCAGCCCATGGACGTCTCGGTGGCTTTACAACCGAGCGTCCTGCCCCACCAAAGCGCAGACGCAGGGTAAAGCTCTCCCGAACCACGATAGCGGGGTGTGTCTTCGTCGCGAGAGCACGCAATTATCCCGCCAGCCCAGCCAACATGGTGCTGTGCCTTGCTGTATACGTCCGACATCCCACGTCCTGAAGCAATTTCTGCAAGACATACATAATGGCTCCCGGCCGACACGATGGCCGAGAGCACTCAAGATGCGATACTTAAGAAGGGCGATTCTGCCTCTGGTAGCCAGATCACCCATTCCACGTTATTCACTCCCCACTTTCAAACCTTACGTATCATTCAGAATGTCTTCAGGAAAGACCGTCACCCTTAACTCTGGTCACAAGATCCCGTATGTTATTACAGACTATGCCCTGGCAATTGCTTGCTGATGTTGCCATAGTCAGTTGGGATATGGTACCTGGCAAGCCGCTCCAGGTGAGGTTGGCAATGGCGTCTACGAGGCTTTGAAGATCGGATACCGTCATCTGGTAAGTGACAGACCCTGGAGACCCTGGAACCGTTGGCTCCACTCCGTAGCCATGCAGCCATTGATTGTTCTTGGATACAATCGCTAACTTGTTGAACGTAGGACCTCGCAAAGATGTAAGTCGACAATCTTGTCATAGGAACCATCTACTCTTCACTCCCCGTCACTTCCTTTCCGCATCCGCCCAGAAACAAGATATTCTTCCGTGTTTGTTGTTGGAAGCTCAAGTGGGATGCCCCTCAGTGGAGACGGAAGCTTGGGAAGCTATGACCATCCTCTACTATCATTTGCCGAGAGCGTTAGCTGACGAGATATTCCGCCAATCATAGTTACGAGAACCAAAAGGAAGTTGCGCAGGGCATCAAGCGTGCTTACAAGGATGTTCCGGGTCTAAAGCGCGAGGACATCTTCATCACTGGAAAGTTGTGGAACACTCAGCACGATCCCGAGAAGGTAGAGGAGGCTCTCGATGACACTCTCGCCGAGCTTGAGCTCGAGTACCTCGACCTGTACCTCATCCATTGGCCGGTTAACTTCGGGCCGGGAAAGAGCCCTCACTCTGAACTCTTCCCCATGACCTCCGACCCCAACGAGGTCAACATCGACAACTCCGTTCCCAACAGTGAGACATGGAAGGCCATGAACAAGCTGCCAAAGAGCAAAGTCCGCTCCGTCGGTGTCTCCAACTTTACATACCAGACCTTGAAGGCTCTTGTTGAGAAGACCGGCCTTGTCCCTGCTGTCAACCAAATCGAGCGTCACCCTATCCTCCCTAGCAAGGAGCTCGTCGCCTACGCCAAGGAGAAGAACATCCACATTACTGCCTACTCCGCTTTCGGCAACAACTTCTTTGACATCCCGCTGCTCATCCACCGCCCCGAGATCAAGGCTATTGCGGAGAAGAAGAGCGCAACGCCAGCGCAAGTCATTCTTGCATGGTCTCAAGTCGGTGGCCACTCCGTCATTCCCAAGTCAGTCACTGCGTCTCGCATTGCCGAGAACTTCAAGGAGATCGAGCTCGATGATGAAGACATCAAGGCTATCACCAAGTTCTCGGATGAGCACCAGGGCAGGAGAAGGTACAATGTACCATACACAGCCAACAAGCCCAGGTGGAGCATCAACATCTTTGACGAGCCAGAGGAGCAGGAGGCACCTAACAAGGTCGTCTTGTAGATGATGAGAATCTGCATGTAGTCACAATATCATGAAATTTAATCGAAGCTTCTTGCACAACAATGTATTCAGCACGGCGTGAGGTGCTGAAAACCTTTGTTCGCCCTAAATAGCTCATGTAAGTTCTTCATTGCTATCAGATGCGTCCATAATGTAGAGAAGTCTGGCCAACGGACTAGGACAATCAATCAAGGCAGTGCGAAACCGTTTCTCTTGTCTTCACTTTGATTCTTGTACATTGCTGAAATTTAGCGTGCCTCTACGCGTAAAAGAGTTGGGCGCCTTTGCTAGATCTGCATGCCATCGTTGATTTGCACTCCACCGGGTAGACTTTCAAGCCCTGTCCAATATATTAGCACGATAACTCTCATGCAGAAGAGAATGCTTACACTCATAGCCATCGACATCCTCTACCACCGTCTGTGGAATACTACACTTCATTGCATCTTCGTCGCTCTGCCTCCCCAGCTCACTACAATGATCGTTACTGCACCGTGCATTGAGCGCCCTCTGCAATGCATCGCCCTTCCAGCCGAACATATAATCACCATGGTTGCCGTGGCCGGTTCTATCTTCCAGAGTTAGCAGCAATACGGGCTTTCAAGTATTTCGGCGGAACGGGGGAGATTTACGCATCACCCATACTGAACACAAAAGGCTGTGTTCCCTCCTTGCCCCATAGCTCCTTCTGGTTGAATGGCGTTGTGTCGAACATGACCTCATACATGACCTGTGGCAGCATAATCGGAAATCCCTCTGGGCACTTTCCCCTCTGCTGCTCGGGCGTATATGGATGCGTTGCCAAGGGTGCAACATACGGTTCGTAGGGGATCTCCGCGTATGCAACATGGCTCTGGTGGTCGGGGCTATCAAGATTTACGCCGTCCCAGCATGTAGGAAACGTGACTTGTGTACGGATACCGCCTTCGCACATGCGGGTGGGAAGGAAGGTCGTGTCTTCTTCTGTGCATGGGGCACCACCAAATGGTTGGTCATTCTTGTAGATGCAACGATGACAGATGCCCCGAGATTCACCGGTGGTGTTGCGAAGGAGCGGGTTACCGGCGAGCATGCGAAAGCCCTGTTTCAATGTCAGCGATGCAGCTTAGGTTCGTGAAGATTTAGTGTTATCTCTTATGGATAGGAAGGGTAGAAAAATAGACTAACAGGCTTGAAGGCAGTCACGTTGCTGACGCCATCATATGGGGGTATATAGTATACTGTCATACCACCTCTCTGGTTTAGTCCACCGTTCGGGAACTGTTGAACACGTTTGTATGTGCCATTCTGTGCGCGAAAATATAACGCTGCAGTCCAATAGTTGCTGCGCTCGATCAGCCATGATCGCGTTCTAGATGCATGCTCTATGCCAGTCTTTATCGCTTTGCTCACATACCTAAAATCTTCGCTGAATGTGCACGTAGTACAATTACTTTTTTCTACCATATCGTATTCTCCAGGCTTCATTTCGGGCTGGAAGCTGTTTCCCCCAACGATCTGGTGCGTATGTGGGCTTCCGACAACTCCAGGGTTGACCAAAGGATCCAAACGTTCGACCGTAAGTTGCGAACAGGCGAAGCGCATCATCGCTGCGCCGCGACTGACATTCTGAGCGCATGTCGCGCTTGCTAGCACAAGAGTTGTTAGAGAAAAGTACATCATGGTGTTTCGACAACGCCGTAGGTATCTCCCTGGGACAAGCGGAGAGGAGCAGGGCCATTGATGCGAGATGTTTATCCAAGGAAGGATGGATATGTGCAGCGATGTGGGGCGTAGAAGTGCCGTATTCCAAGCATTTCTCTTTAGACCATCGTCTCAAAAGAATCCGCTGGAGTGGTTGTTGGAATGTCTGGTGAGTGGCGTAAAGTGCATCCATAGATTGAGCGACAAGGATCGGCCCAATCATGCAGTGGACGCATGATAGCACCGAAAGCCCTCAGGCAATGTTTGATATCGAGATCTTCAACCATTCAATCAATGATGTATTTCGAACTAGTGTATAGTAGTATTGCCATATATCCCTCCTCGATGCAAAACATTAATGTTCGAGTCGATCAAATAGGTAATGAGTTTTACTACAGCAAATTACAGCGCGACTCTTATCGAAGAATGTCTGTGATGCTAACCTTATCCTTCCGGTCAACGAATGGATCCGTTCCGGTTGGCGCATCACCCTCGGAAGGGACCATTACTTCCTTCTTGACAACGACATGTGATTCAGCAAGTTCCTCGAGGATCGGCTTCAAGTCTTTGTGCAGGGGTATGCCATGACCTTCGAGTCCAAGCGAACTCTCGGGGAAGTAAACGCCTGTCAGCTCAAAGACCGCTTTGTTTGCCGCCTTGAACCGTTTTCGCCCTCCCTCTGGACTGATGTTCCAAGTTGTTCCGTCCTTAGAAGGAGGGAGGAAGACCTTTTGAGCAACCTTGTCCCATGCTAGTGGCTCCTTGTCCCATGGACGACGCAACTCGTAGGCTTCTTGGCAGTGCAGAGGGTCGTCATGTAGAATGGTTACTTTTGACCAATCAATTGGACATGCCTGTTGATCATCGTACGGTGGCGTAGGCGCTGCAAAATCGCAATGCCATGGCTTAAAGGCAGGATGGGGTTCTGGATCGAAGACTAAGAAAGTTAGTCATAATTGTTCACATAAAGGACACAAATATCTCTTACTGGTCAATCTAGCACGTAGTCGCTCCTGGACTTTCACATCGTCGTCTTCATCTTCTGCCTCTTCAACAACCCTCTTCTTCGCCTTGGTCCTTTTAGCTCGCGCGCCCTTCGACAATGCTATCAGATCTTGCACAGGCGTATCCTCCGTTACTATGTCCCCCTCGTCCGCAGCTGAAGTGTTCGTGGGCGCGTCTGTGAAAGTCAGTGCATTTGATTCACGTCCTAAACTTAGATCACTCTTGGCCTGCGCGACTTTCTGGCGTTTCGTGGTTTTCCTCCGGGTACACGTTCGGTCCGCGAGAGGATTATGGCTTGCGCTTGTTCGACTTGAAGGCAGCCTGCTGTGCTGCGTAGCTCTATGGTCATCTTCGAGGGTCAGCTCCGACACTTGAGCTTTGCGTTTCTTGTTAAAGGACTCGGCCATATCTGGATCAAGGCTCAACAGACGGTAATTATGGTACGTAGTGGGATGAGGCTGGCTGGTATGTTCGATGTCAAGGATCACGGATGCGGATTGTGCTGAAGCGTGAGTGTGATATTTTCAAGACCAAAATGGAAGAGAATACTGTGAGGGCTTATACGCAACATTTGAGTGGCAGTGGTCAGGCACCAGTGGATAACACACGTGAGCCGCACTGACCTCATGGTTGATGCTGTAAGGGCGAGTCTTGATGCCAGTAATTCCAGTGAAAGTCCATATCAGTGGCAAGTGGTAAGTACGCACGCGATATGGATGTCGAGGAAAGTATAAGAAACGAAGATGAGGCAACAGAGATTATAGCGCGGAATAATTGAAGAGTGCGATATTGTCGAGCCTCCGAAAAACGGATATGAAATATGCTGCATCAGACTTCATCAGCGACGCACTGGCAAACGTTGCTTTGAAAAGACATCAGCAAGGTCAAAGTCCTTATGAAAAGAAGTTGATAGCATACTGAGTTTTCTGTTACCACAAGAGTTCGCTCAGATATGTACTGTCGCAAACGAACATTGCGAACTCGATACTCAACATCTTTTGAGGTTTGTCCGTCTGTTCCGGGGAGTCCCAGTGTCTACGTCCTCGCGATCAGCTTTCAGACAAATAGAGTGGAACCAAAAAGCACCAGTTTTGTACGAGGAACAAGATATTCGAGGAAAATCTGCTTCCAGGACCGAACCACTGAAGGTGATCATGCTCGCGTTTGCTGTCATTGTGTCTTCTTCATCCCGGTCTGGAAGGTCGCCTCGGAAAACAACCCGTGATTGCGAGATATTACCGACTGTTGTGTAAGCACGGCTCGTGATGAAGCATGTGGCAGGTTGCTATAATAACGATGCCATAGTTTGAGAGTTGGAAAGACGCGAACGATGAAGTCGGGTGGTTGGCAAGTTGGAAGCCCAGGGGAATGGTCAGTGCGCGCTGCCGACAGACGTCATAATCGCGACTAGCGGCATACATTGCTATACAGGTCGCATATCGAGACAGCACGCAAGGAGGAATACGCTGGGTGTGTAGTGACGCACAGATAGTTGCATCTACTTAGACGTGGTTATCAAACTCCTTATTTACATCAAACATGGTTATTCATGCGCTACTGCAGCATACCCTCTAAGCTTTCTCCCAGAATCTCCTCCATGCCATTCTTCCACCTCTGGCACTCTCTCTCTACAATCTCATCGTCATCTTCCATGAGCTCACTAATGAACGGTAGCATCTCAGGTAGCAAGCCCAACCATTCTTCACCCAGCCTCCTCGTCAAGCTTTGCTCACACAGAACTGTTGCGAGTCTTGTGTTTCTGTCCTCGCTTCTCATGTTCTTCAGCAATATGCTGTTCATCTCACGGTGATTCTCCATAGATGATGCAGATGCAACAGCGAGTTCGGTGATGGTGGGAATAACGTTGTTGGTGTTGTTCTCTGGAGTAGAAGTAGAGGCAGACGGGAGGTTGAGCAGAGACAACAAAGGTGGCATTATCGTTCCGAAGTGGGATGGCGCCTGCCAGAAACCGTCTTGGTCATGCTGGAATGTCTTCTGGAGGGCTGCGAGAACAGCGCTGCGGGTGGCGACCTCTGAGTCGTCCTTAGCAAGTCCGATAAGCATCTTCGCAGCATGCTCGATGATGTAGCTCGAATAGCTTGTTACAAGAGACTGAACATTTGTTAGCGATACTTCATCATCATAATAGAGATCGTTACATACCTTGAATTTGTCGAAGAAAGCGGCAAGGAACTTGTAGAAGGTGATAGCTCGTTCAGGCTTGGAAGAAACGGGGCCCTCTTGGTCCACGAGCTGTACGAAGAAAGGACGGAAGGTAGCATCACTGAGCTTCAATACCATAGCAATGACCGAATCCGTAAGAGTGCCTTCCAGCTGTTCGATCTCTTCGTCGTCAACCTCCACCGTGGCAGATTGAACAGTCTCACGTAGGCGGAAAGTCTGCAGAAGCAGGCTGAAGAGTGGCGGGCTGGCTTTAACAAGCTTAGCTTTGGTTTGGGTGTTGACAGTCGCACGCAGAAGCTCAAGCTGCTCGAGCGAGGCATCAAATCCTTGAGAGGCGGCATCTGGCCATGTCGACTTCAGAGCAGCGAAGACTTCCTGGGCACCCAGGTGCTCAGATACGCTCTGGAAGAAACTGCTGCGGCTTTCGTCGCAAGCCTGTTCCAGATCGGCAGCAGCGGAGCGGTGGCACAACCGAAGAGCTGTCTCGAGATAGTCGCGCGAGAACATGTACCCCAGTCGTTCTACAATATTTGAGAGAATGGTGAACACAGCATTGTGTAGACCAGTCTTCTCTTCTTCGATCGCATGCGACAAGTATTCGAACGCTGTTGGCAAGACGGTAGGAAGAAGCGAGATGGCTTCATCCTCGAGCACGTCAACAACAGACGTAAGGCAGAGGAGAGATAGGATGCGGAGGCGGTCATCGCTGCTGGATAGCGATTGTGGTCCGGAGACGATTTGGGCAACTGATGCAACAGCAGACACGTCCTTCTTTCCGAATCGCTCGATGATGCGGTCAATGCAGCTAACAGCTACCATCTTAGCGTCTATCTCGGGTGATTGCTCTAGAAGATCCTGGACACTAGGGAGGAAAGCGATCAGGGCCTCTACAGACTTGCGGTCATGCTGCTTAGCGGTGCCAGCGCGTAGCTCAACTGACTTGACGGCGGCAACTTGCACATGAGAGTCCGCGCTTGAAAGGAGTAGCTGTGCCGATTTGACGAGATCAGTTGTTGGTAGGAGATCCAGGCAGCTGGCAAGGACACGGCTGCAACCTGCGTATGTCTTGGGGTTCGTTGCCAGCTTCTTTGACAACTGAATAGTAGTTTCGACAATGTTTGCGAAGATCCTTCGTGGCCGTTCAGGGTCATCCTTCTTTCTGTACGCTCGGGTGACATGCGCTTTCACCTTGTCATCGAGTGCAAGATCTGTCAAGCAAGACAGCATGCTCTGGATTGATAGATCGAACTTGTTGTCTTTTGTCTTCTCCTTAAGGCTGAACAGCGTCTCCGAGACCTGAGGCTTCGGCCCCACTGCATCAGTGAGTAGGTCGAGGTAACCCTTGAAAGTAACAAGGGTGTGTACAGGTTCGAAATGAAGTAGCAAATCGGCACAGAACCTTCGCTGCTCTTTGCTGTGGTAGCGATCGGCAAGTAGCGCCACAATAGCCGGAAGCGAGTCTTCAGGGCCTAGTGTGCGAGCAAGCTCTGTGAACAGCTTCATCCTCCTGTGCAGGGGAATGTGTTCAAAGGCAGCAGTGAAACTGAGCAACAGATCGGACACTCCAGCGATAAAGTCCCTGTGTTTTGAGCGGAGAGAAGCTGCCAGTTGGGGTACAACACGGGAAATGGTCTTATCGACGACTTGGGCGGAGTAGTCGTCATGTTGGCGAAGTAGAGTAGATCCGATGAAGGTGAAGATGGGCATAAGATTATGAAGGATGAGATCGGGTACCCATGATGCGAGGTTGGAAATGAGCAGGAGAGCACTGTTCTGAACTTGAGGACTGCCGGAGTGTCGAATGCAGTCAATGAGTAGATCCGCTCGTACTGCTGATTGGTAGTCTGTGGTGTCCGTCTGTTCCTTCAATGTGTTTACGATAGGGCTGAGTGAGCCCAGAATGATGCTCTGCAGGTACACTAGCTCGGATCCAGATTGTTGCTTGAGTGGTTGCAGCTCCGCGAAGATACCAAAGAGGTGCTTGAACAGCGTTGGGTGTTGTCCTGGATTGGATCCCTCAACTAGCTCAAGAACCAATGTGAGCTTTCGGAGAAGTCGCTGAACGTCATCTTGAGACGAAAGCTCCACGCGGGCCATCTCACTTCGGCTTGTTCGTCTTCTCTTCGCAGCAGGCGCTCCTCCAGGCATAGCTGTAGGGGATGGAATGCTTTCCAAGAAAGAAACGAGAATAGCGGAATCAAGATCGACGCTGCGCAGTATCTCAATGGACTGCTCTCTGCAGAGCTTGTCGAAAGAGGTGTCGCTTTCACTGGTAGAGAGACCGAGCATGCACTGGGCCAATGCGTGTCGAGCTTCAGATCTGAAGGACGACCACGAGGTATGGATGCGCTGGAAAGCAGCAATAACCAGAGTTTCGCGGTCCTTGTTGAGGGTTCCAGAGATTATGTCCTGGAGCAGCTGAGCGCTCTTCGCCTCTCTGGGCATTGTGGAAGTAATGTGAGCCCGCTCCACCTCATCAAGCGAAAGGCCTTCGCTGTTGCAGCTAGCGGTCACGGTCGCAGTTGGAAGACTAGACCATGCGGTGAGCAAGGGAATCATGGTGTTACTGCGAACCGTGTCGGAAACTTTGCCGCGTATGTTCGCGACTGGTAGAAGGCTAAGTCGCACCCTCAACACTGGCGTAAGACTGGCATGGCTTGCGAGGAATCCCAGGACTAATGTCCTGGTTTGCATCTTGATCGTGTTTTTGGTGTGGTTCTTCAACTGTGTGCCTTCCAGAACATCGCGAAGCGCAGGTATGACGAACTTTGAGTCCATCACGCATTCTTCCAAGATCGGTTGCAGCATCGACGAAACAAAAACCAGGACATCCTCAGGCTTGAGCTCTGCAAGGGCCTTTGATTCCTTCCCATAGAGGTCTGTTTTTCCCCAGGTTTGCGCCTTTGACTTGGCGGAGGCCTTTCGTGCCAGAGATCCGACACATGCGGCTGCTGAACGTCGGATGAGTGGGGATGAATCAGTGAGCGCGTGAATAAGGTACGGCAAGATGTTCTGCAGAACATGTGCAGCTTCAATCTTTTCGAATGATGATGCGGCTGCACGAAGTGCGGCAACGCGGACAGCGACTGGTCGGATGCTACTCCACACGCGAGCAAGGAACGAAAGGTAGATTGGTTGCTTGAACGCGGAATCTTGCTGCAACGTGTCTGAAACGAGGAAGTGCCGGGTCTGTTTTGTGGCCACAGCCTGCTCGAAAACGTCGGCGACTTGTATGAACTCGCTTTCTGAACCGGCATCGAAGAAGCTCTTGCTGGTGATCTCGGGCACCTGTATGAGGGGCTTCTCGGTTGCATCCTCATCGGCATCGAGCATCTCCTCGTCCGAATCCTCTTCGGGAATCTCCGCGATATCGAATGTTTGGCCAACAGTGAGTCCCAACGATTCCAGATCGACATTGTTCTGCTTCGCCACTTCCTGCATTATGATTTGTAGCTCCTTAGATTCGGTCATCTTGGTAGCGAGCTGAAGAACCTCTCCGTGCTCTTGGGAACCCGGCGCACTATCGCGAAGGAGTTGAACCAGTGCTGAGAGCACCATCTGAACGCGCGACGTAGTGAGCAGGCCAGATGCGATCAACTCGCTGAAGATTTCACGGTTCTCGTCGGAGCTATCACTGAGCGCACCGAGAGCGCAGCCCAGGACCAGTCGTTCGACCTGACATTGATGTGACAGCGCCGTCAATTTCTGCACGAGTTGCGGGACGTTGAGCAGTTTTTTTGATACTTTGGCAGGGATTTGCGCCTTGGAGCGCTCCATGGCGATGATAGCTAGGCATGCAAGGCATGACTGAAGGGATGTTTCGTCATGGGCTGCAATGACAGCTTCCATCAGTCCATCCAAGACCTTGTCTCCGACCTTGGCCTGGTTGACCATCATAATGACGATAGCGTAACAGGCCAGGACCGTGTCAGCCCCATGCTTTGCCCGCATGCAGCTGTTGAGGACAGGGAGCAATTCCAAGACCAGCTTCTCAGTTCCCTGGTCCTGGAGGTCCTTTCTGCCAGAGCTTGCGTTGCTCACTATGCCGTATATAGCCTCAACTGTGGTTCCTGACCAGAAGGACAGCATATGCGAGGCCTGGTGGCCCGCCTCTACCACCTTGGTTACATATGATTGGTAGGCGTTGAAGAACTGCGGGGTATTGATGGCAGTGTATGCGATCGTACGCTGGGGTATTTTGGTTGGCGCCTGGATGTAGGGAAAGAGGAAGCGGATAGCGTGCGGTGGTTGTGCGGGTAGGATGGAGAGCAGTGCAAGGAACTGTGGTGTGTTGTGGTAGGGCAGGTAGGTAAAGACGAGGGTTTCGGTGTTGTACTCGTGGATACTGGCTTCTTGTCAGCCTCAATCGTGTGGAAAGCCATCAGAGGCTTCCAGATGCATCAACTCACCGGAATCTCCTCACCAGCCACTCAAGGGCCTTCTCCGCCGGCTTCAACAGTAGCCTTGGTCCGACCAGCGTGATGAATGCCTCGAGTACTGTGTTCAACTTTGCGTTTTCATCCTTGCTCATCTGCGTGCGATCTTCCGACTTGCTCTGTTCGCTGAACAGATTCTTCGAGAAGCGCAGAAACCTGGGATCCAATGCGCAAAGGTCCTTGTAGCCATCGTAGCAGATTAGGTAGATGGTTTCGAAGGATTGCGATGCGGCGATCTTGGAATCGAATAGCAGCGATTTGCCATGCGCCGACTTTTGCGCGCGCAGGTCGAGCTGATGGGTGCTCGAAGCCGCAATGGATGCGAGCTGTTTCTGTAGCGCCGTCGCCATTTTTAGGTGGTTTCACTATCGTAACGGGCTCTAAGGTGTGTTTTTGATAATGCGATGAGCCATCAGACGCAGCGGTACAGCGTAGATTTTGTCGTGGCGGATGGTTGGGAAGCTTGAAGCCAGTGATGCGCATACAAAATTTCGGGAAGCCAAGATTTCACGCTAAAGAGGTTTTACGGCGGGCCGCTCGAGCCAGATATGCTGCCGGACCCCCGAGACACGTGCGACGCGCCTTACGCCTCCCGTCTCCAATCATCTTCCATCCCATCTGTCGCCCTGCGCATTCACTCTAGATATATAGATTCGTGAATTCTATCTAGAGTTTACACGGAGCGCCGTCAGTTGCAGTTGTCTTCTCGGCTCATGACCAGGCGCATCAAATCTATCGCTCTGCTAGAAAGCAACAGCTGTATGACACTAGCTTGAATCCTCATTTACGATAGTGAGGTCGCTGTGGCCGTATCTTTCGTCATGTCGTCCAACGTTCCCAAGTTTGCGAGCTTCCGGCCAAAGCCCAAGGTAGAGCCAGAGCCGCCCAAGGAACCTCAACAACATGAGAAAGTCGGAAAGTCATCTAAAGAGAAAGCTCCGGGCAGGAGAAGATCTCCTTCGCCAGACAGAAGTACTCGTGAGCAAAAGTCAAACAAAGACAGGCCCTACTTCAGCGACCGACGAGGTGACCCCGACGTTTTTCGTTATGGGACAATGAATCGTTATGATATCCCGCCTTACCGTCGATTTGGTCATGGCTTCATACTAGGGCTTTCCGCAAATCAGAAGATCGACAGAGCCGAGTCTACAGACAAGAAGATCGTTGTAACACCAGCAACACGCAGACGGCAAGAGCGACTGCTGACAGACAAGCGTGCGAATAAGTCGCGTGGGCGCGCTCTACGACTGGTCAAGACGGGAGAAGGCGATACAAGTCTCGACCAGGACTTTGTCTTATTGTCTTCACGCGCCAAAAGAAGACGCGATGAAAGCGAAGATGAGGACGACCAAGTGGAAATGGAGGCAGACTACCGACGCATCGATGGGCCCAAATCAAGCGAGCCTGTAGACCCAGACACGCAGTACGAGTCTGATCCCGAGCTTGTGATTGACACCGAGATCACTCGCAAAAACTCCCAGCTTGCACGGCAGACGAAAGAACACCCCACAGACGTCCAGGGCTGGTTGGCACTGATCAAACACCAGGAGGCCATGCTCAAGCTTGAGCGGCCATCTGCTGAATTGACTGCATCTGACAAAGCACACCTTGCAGACGTACGCATCTCTACCTACGAGGAGGCTTTGAAGAAGATTGGTCTAGATAAGAATAGCCAGCTGAGGTTATACCAGGGCCTCTTGAAAGAGGCAGAAAGAGCTTGGGATGGCGCGAAACTGGCCGGCAAATGGAAGGACGTACTTGCGAAACATCCGCAAAGTGTGGATTTGTGGATGATGTACCTCGACTTTGTGCAGTCACGATTCACAAGCTTCAAATATGAAGAGTGTCGCGCTATCTTCTTCAAATGTGTAGAGTCTCTTCGTGCAAACAAGGCCGACATTTCGTCAGAACAGAGCCTGCATCTATTACTGCGTCTGACGGCCATGGCTCATGATGCAGGATACCAGGAGCTTGGTCTTGCAGTCTGGCAGGCCTTATTTGAGCATCACCTGATGCGTCCAGAATCAGGCGCCGACATCCAAGCTTTTGAAGAGTTCTGGGAAAGCGAAGTGCCTCGTATTGGCGAGACGGGAGCAAAGGGTTGGAGGCATGGCAGTACAGACGACCCGCCACCTCCAGGGCCTTCGTCTTTGCAGGAAAGAGAAGCGTCAGATGCTAACTTTGAGAGCTTCCGAGAGCGCGAATGCGAGGCTACGTCGGTGTTACGACACCCTGGTCGGGCATCAGATGATGTAGCAGAAGATGACGCCTTTCATACAATCTTCTTCTCGGATATCGAACCCTACTTAGCCATTGTTACGCCTGAGACACCAGCGACGCTGATGATCGAGGCTTTCTTGTGCTTCTGCATGCTACCACCGCTAGCACATCGTATCCCACAACAACGAGCCTGGTGGACTGATCCATTCTTACAGCGCCATTGGCACTCTGCTACTCCAGACACTGATGAATCTCATGATTTCACTAAGGCCGTCAAACGATACTCTAATTATTCAGCAAAGAGCTTCCAGATGACCACTGAGCTCTTATTCGAGCAGCACTTCTCGCTTGACGGAATCAAACTTGATGCAGACTTTATCAGATGTCTGCTTAAGATCCTCTCCTCGGATCCTTCAAGCGAAGAAATTGTAGGAGAATATCTCCTTGCTTTCGAATCTAAACACTTTCCATCGGAAGCATTCAAGACAGCAAAGCGGTTACTCAAAGCGCGGCCGTCAAGTTTGCGTTTGTACAACGCTTATGGGTTAGTTGAATCGCGCCTGGGCAATTCCTCCAAGGCAGATCAAGTGTTCAGCATGGCGCTTTCCATGCAAAAGGGAGACGATCTGCTTTCAGCCCCATGGAGTTTAGAGCTCTTCAGCAACTGGGTATGGGAAGCGCTCCGAAGAGGAGACCACGAAGAAGCTTCTTGGCGGCTCGTCTCGCCAGAAGGCAAACTTCCCAACGCAGAGCACAGAAACTCGAGTCCTTGGGCCCAACCCGCATATGAGAAAATCAGTCAAATCGAAGAACATGCACTACTAAACCACGACTACCCAACAGCAGTAATATGTACCTGCCTTCACGTTCTCCTTAGCGACACCGTCCGCGATGTCGATCCCCAACTCTACCCTTACTCCCGCCTAAGACAATGGTTCTCATCCCATCGCCTCGACAAGTCTCCCTTCGAAGAACTGCGCGCTCAATCTCTCGCACAATTCCTCGCATGCCACGCCACCCAAGCCCCAATTGTCAAACCTTCTTTGATCCGTGGCAACCTCGACTGGGTTCTCGACGACTTCCCAGCAAACACAATCTTGCTCTCCGTGTACGCTGCAAACGAGACGCGTTTTGCAATCGACGATCGCGTTAGAAGATTCTGGGAAGGATTCTATTCTCAACCGGACGAACAGAGTTTAGCGGGTTGGGCATTCGCGATACACTACGAAACATTGAGGGACGAGAGGGCGGGCTCGACTAGCCATTCTATACGTGCGTTGTATAGACACGCTACAGACTCGGTGACAGGGTCTCGCTGTCCCGCACTCTGGAAAGCTTACGTCAACTTTGAATTACAGTGTTTGCATAGCGAGCAGACACGACAGCAGCAGTGGCATGCGAACAAGAAACCACGCCGAGATGGTAAGAAGAGTAAATGGGAGATGAGGGTCGAGGAAGCGGAACAACTGGTCAAGGACACGTTTTACGCTGGGTTGAGGAACCTGCCATGGTGTAAAGAGTACATCATGTTTGCCTTTACGGATGCGAGGGATGTTTTTAGGAACGAGGAGAAGGCGAAGCTGTATAGGGTCATGCAAGAGAAGGAACTCAGGCTTTATGTTGAGTTGGATGTATGAAGGGTTTATAGAGAGAGTACAGGTGAGCTAGGCAGATGACGAATTTCCTGCTCAGTCAAGCTTTCTTGAAGAGAATTTAGAATCATGTACATTAAGCACCCGCGACTATCCAACTAGTGGGCATTTGAGATCATCAACACAACTTCTAGAAAATGTCTTCCGTGCCTGCTTCTGCCCATGTGATCTCTCCTTTGGCAACACGGTTCCTCACTTGCCAGTACTCATGGTTGAAAACCCAGTATTCCTCACCAGTCGTTTCACACCTGCCCTTGCTGAACCACCTGGGTACGAATTCTTTGCCTTCAGCTTCTCGCTGTCTGCGGGTTGCTCGCTGCTTTTCTTCTACCCTGTTCTTCTCCGTTGCCGCAAAATCGTACTCTCCGTCTTCCATGGCGCGTTGATCGGGGCGGAGACGCGTGTCTGTTGGGGCAACAACAGGGCGAAGCTTGTCGGGAATGTCGTTAAGGGTCACGACGAAAGGAGTAAGGTTGAAAGGTATACCTGTTGGGCGCTCGTGAGCTTGCCAGACAAGGAAAGCCTTGTTGTCGTCGTGTTTTGAACTCTTTCCGCTCTTCTCAACATCCACATCCTCGAAGCCTGGGGTGAAGCGGGCGTAAATCTTGTCGTTCCATCGACCGCCAATACTCCAGCGGACGCGGTTCTGCGCGTCAAAGACTTTTCCAACGACTTGGTAGGCTGACGAAGCCTTCCAACCGCGCGGCTTGAACTCAATAAGACATTTCTCTCCCGTCGTATGGTTTGTAATCTCCATGGTACCGTAGTTGTCGACAACGGGGTTACCAGTTATAATGCCAATGACGGAGGACGTAACCTTCTTCCAGGTGTACAGCTCTTCTTTTCCACCATTGACGGTTGGCCGAAGACGAAGGAACCAAGTTCCGAGCGGATTGATGTCGAAAGATTTGCCATAGAATTTGGACTTCACTGCAGATTCACCCTAGGCTGCATTAGAAAGTGTGACGTGAGGGCAAATGTTAGTACTTACATAGTAATCCCACTTTTTGGATTCCGCATAAGCAGCACCGATCGGTGGGTGATGGCTGACCTGCTCAATGAAGAAACGGTAGCCCTTGTCTGGCCTGGCATACTCATACGTCTCAGCGAGAAGAGGATTGAAAGGCTTTGCAACACGTCCAATGGTCGAAGCATACTCTGATGCAGCAAATGCACCAACATAGAGTATTCGCTCGGTAGAGTCGTCGCGTTCAGCAGCGGTGTCAAGGAGATCAGTGTATTCCATATCTTCCGCAACACGTTGAAGCAGTGAAGTGGGCTCGTTGAATGACACTGGCAATGTCATCTTAGTCATGTCCTTGCCAATCATAGATTTGAGAATGCCCTGGGAGCTGTTAGCGTCTAGTAGATGTACTGCGACATCAAACATACCCAAAGCGAGATCTTAGGCCTGTCGTCTGCGTCCATGGCAAGCCTCTTCCGCGGGCCATCTTCGTAGCCTGCCCAAGCTGTGGCGATCTCCATGTGCTTCTTCTCGAACGGATCATCTGAGGAGGCTGGTACGTCGACTTGTGCAGTCTCCTTGGGAGCAGCCGCAGGCATTTCTACAACCTCAACCTCTCCAGCACCAACAGCGTCGAAGAACTCCTCGTCATCTTCTGATTCAGAGTCTGATATGTCGGCAGCGATGTCGGCGAACGTAGCCTTTCTCCTAACTTTCTGATTCTTAACTGGAAGTCCTACACCCGATCCCAGCTCTTTTTGTTGCTGAGCGTCTTCTGGTGCGTCAGCGAAATTGTCTTCTTCATCCTTGGCATCAGGTTTGGCTTCAGTTGTCTCGTAGTCCTCCAACGCTTCTCGTAGGGCCTTCTTCTGCTTTCGCCGCTTCTCCTCAGACTCGCCTATCCTGTTCTCGAGCTCTTCCTGCTCCTTTGCAACCTTGGCCATGCTTTCTTCCCACATGCGTCTGACGTTAGCCTCGCGATCCAAGCGGTATTGCCAATAAGCGTCACGATCCCTTGATATCCGAAGCAGATCGCCAATCAGCCCTTTCAGGTTTCCGATAGCAGACTCGTAAGATGTGAATGCTTGGAGCATCATAGGATCGGAAATTTTGAGGTCGGGTGAACGACTCATCTCCGCCTGTAACGCCCCTGAAACGGATGTCAACAGATCAAGCTGCAACTTGGCCGATTGTGCTGTGATATTGAATGCGTCTTTACTTTGGGGCTTCATTTCATGGCTGCTTGTATCGTCGCCGTAGTCGTCCTCGTCTTCATCGTCGCCGGCTACAGTAGCGGTACCCATGTGGCTGGTCATTCTGTCTAGACCGTGACCGTTCATGCTAGGCTCGTAAATACTCCCGGGATCTTCAGTCACACTAACCGCAGTTCGCGAGGATGTGTTGTCGAGGCTAGGCATCGGGACTCCGAGAGTGGATGAAGCAGCCATGTTTCGCGAGCTTGCTGCCAACTTGGAGCTACCGACACTAGATGTGTCGCCCTCGCCCTTGATCTGCTCAATCTTAGCTTGCTTCAACATCTCCTGATCCTGAGTGGCCCGCTTCTCTTCCTCTCGTGCTTCGTCCTTGGCCCATTGAATCGCGTTGTTCAGAGCCCAGTACCATCGCTTGGCTTCAACCTCGTGGTTCGCCTTGAGATGGTACTTGACTGAAGACTTTCCCTGAATTTCAAACCGCTGCTTATCTTGGGGGTCCATGTACAATTTCGCAATCCTCATGTTGATGGCACCTCGGCATGCAGATCCAGTATCGTCCTGGTGCTTGTAGTAGCTGAGCACGCCGTCCTCGAGCACGAACCATCGCAACTTGTATCCAGTTCTGTAGTTTGTCCACTTCTTAAGGTAGCCCTTCATCTCGCGCGACTCTTTCGCGCCCATGCCACTTTCGGTTGCAGTTTGTCCTGGAGGACCACCCGCGAGGATTGTCTTTTCTTGGATGCCCCTCTGAGCTGCTGCGGCAGCAGGCGATCGCTTTAGAATAGCGCGCGTACGGTCGTCTTTGGTGTAGTCTTGAGGAAGCTTGCCCTTTCGGTCTCGGCGGAAAGGATCAGCTCCGTTAAGCAATAGCAGTTGCGCCAGCTTGACATCCTTCTTCTTAGCAGCCTCGTGCAGAAGTGTACCGCCTGCATCTACCACGACCGGGTCAGTCGCCAGCTCTCCACCGTTGACGTCTAGGGTGCTCTTTATCCTAGCATCTTGCAGTATCTTCTCCAACGAGTCCATGTCTCCCGTGGTCACCATGTGTTGTATCTTCTTTACGTGGGTGTCGATGAATATGGATCGCGAGAGCTGCAGTTGCTGGAAGATGTCTGGTGTGCGAGCGAGATCCAATGGTGTCTGACCATTGTAATTGGTGACTGAATCGTTGATGCCAGGCTGATCGAGCAGCATTCGGACGACTGGAGTTCTGCCCAGGGTGGCTGCGAGGTGGAGTGGGGTATTGCCATCGCGGTCGCGGCCATTGATGTCGATGGGCGAGTCTGGTGTTGCCGTTGCGTTTGATAGCACAAACTCAATGACGGGCACCTCGGCACATTGTATGGCCAGGTGCAGGATCGATGTGCCTTCTGTGCGTGCGCTGGGTAGCTGCAGCGACGATCTGCTATCTTCGCCCTCTGTTGACCCGGCCTGGTCCCTTATGGCTCTCGATATAGCTGCTGTGTCTCCATTCCTAAGCGACTCGAATACCCTGAACAGCTTCACGGACTGCTCTATCGAGGTCGATTTGGTGGGCGAGCTTGGCGACTGCTGGAAGCTCGAGGCCGAGGGACTCAGACTCTCTTGCCCGGCGCCTGCGTTGGACATGCTGGTCGAGAGGTGTGGATTTTGCTTCTTGGACAGACTGCGACTGTGTCCCGAAGGTGATGTTACGGATTGCGAGGGCTGCGAGTTGGAGGAAATGGCAGTGCTGGGCGGGCTAGTGTCACTGCTGTTGCCGTTGCCGGTGCCGTTGTTGCCGTCTGTGGTAGGCACGTCGGTCTTGGATGTGACGCGCGAAAGGAGATTCTTGACGCTGGCCGACTTGGAGCGCTTGTGCCTACGACGTGTGGTTAGACGTGACTCTGGGGCATCTCACAACGGGCTGCCTCGTCCTCCACATGTCCCCCGCCATGACGGCAGCATAAGCTTGGAGCGGGCGCACCTACCCTTCCATGGTTGCGTGATTGGCCAGCGAGCCAAGAATATGCGGGCCGGAGGAAGCTGGGTAGGTAGAGGAGGAGTTCGGTTGGATCGCTGTCAGCACCAAGTCAGAATAGCCCAGGTATCTCGTGTGCGCAAGTCGCGCCTTTGTAGGATTTCATCACAGTCGCGGCGGGGCTTTCAGCAGCTTTTGGGCGCATTCGTCAGGGGCGCGCAATCCAGGCCGCTCCTCCAGCGAATCACGACTATTGCTCCGCTAGACTGGCCCTACTGTCCCAAGATCGTCCACCCGCCTAGAGAACTGCTCGGGCATATGTCATGGCCGACTAGACTAGCATATACAAGTATTTGACTGATTCTCTCGTCGGCAGTATTGCGTAGTTGGTCTACAGAATTATGCCGTTCGAGGGCCATGACTATAGAGGACACACGCAAGGTTGATACATCATCTGGGTAATGTTCACATAATGTACATTTTATACATGGCATGGCAACATCCTCACGCTGAGTCTCCACCCACAAGGATGATGGCACTTCCCAGCTGCCTCCGCAAATCCTCCTTCTGGACATCGTGTGTGTCCTCTACCTCACCCCACTGCTGTGTTTGCCACGTAACTTCCAAGCTCGACGCATCGCTGGCTTCCTTGATGCCGAAGCGTGGCGCGTCACTGACCTTTCGCGATTGCGCAAATGCTTCGCCCCATTCATGGATCAGTCGCACGCTGACTAGCAAACTCTTGGATGCCAACACTGCGCGTTCAAGACCAGCAAGCTCGTATGCTGGAAGACCTGCGCACCAGCCGCGAATGACTTGCTTTGTCATCTCGGGTTGCTCAGTGGGGATGATGGTCTCGGGGTCGAGTGTGGGCTTGATCTCTACACCCGGCCACACGTGTGTCTTGAGGTAGGCGATGATGTCTGTAGCCACTTCCTCCTGGACCTCTCGCAGTGTCTTTCCGTTCTGGAGGGTCTCGTTCAGGACCTTTGCTGGCGCCCAGCAGAGCAGTGTGTCCGTGTCGAGCACACGCATCAGATAGCTCAGGATGTCCGCCCTAATGTTTTCCCTTTCTTCCCTATCGGCGGCCTCAATATCGATTGCACGGGCGGCGAGCGAGGTCATGGGGATGTAATCGTTCTTGAGGGCTTGCTGCGCACTCATGAGGAGATCCCACTCAAGAGCAATGGCGGTCGCCAGCTGGGGCTTCGATGCGGGGACGGTGAGGATCTGCTTGTTGGGCATGCGGACGGGTCGATGGTCGAGGAAGACTTGAAGGCCGCCCTCGCCTTCCGTGACTGAGACGTCCTTCCAGAAGCGCTTGGCCAGCATGTTCTTGGGCTTGTTGTTGGTGGGGGCGTAGACGTCGCGCATCTCCCGCGCCTGCTTCATCATATCCGCCTGCCTCCTCTTCCTCGCAACTCGTTCGGATGCATCTGATGGCTGTGGCTGAGGCGTCTCAGGCGGTGGCCCGGGAACTGTCAGACGTTAATTATTGGCCAAGTTGGCTGCACTGGTTTGTCGTACCGGATGGATGAGGCAGCGGCGTGGCGCCTCGTGTGGCTGATGTGTGTAGACATTGGTAGAGCGGTCTGTAGGCTCTCTGGGGCGCTGACAGCCGTATGCTGGCGAGTGCTGGGCGAATTGACTCCATGGTGGTACGGAGCGACTGTGCAGATGGCTTGGACGCTGTTCCCAGGCCGAGTGGGACCCACCGGGGCGACTTTTTCCACAAACGCGCTCGGACACGGTCGCTGTAGCGTCGACCGACGACCCAAATCTGGGGTTCTCCGCTCCGCAACCCAGACCACTCCCCGTCAACTCACTTCCGTCGGGTATCAAAGTCACGTCGTAGCGCTTGCCGATCTCCTCGAACCGGCTTCTCTGAATATGCGCTGGCTTCTCCACAGCTTCTCGTTACTTTGCATGTTCTCCACTGTCTGGTCTGGCTCATGATCGACCCTTGACGCGCATCTGGCAGCTGTTGTTACCCCACTCAAAACTGCTTTCCCTGCATCATCGAGACACGCCTTTGATGCGGCCATTTCCGCTTGCTTCTGAGAACACACTCTGCTTTTAATGAATCAAGGAGCCCCTCAGACGGCCTCTGCGAACGCTGCCGTGTCTCAGCCCAAGCCTATTCGTTTTGTGACGAACCATGATGGTCCCTATGCGAAGAGGCGTCGCATTAATTCCGCGTGCCTGACCTGCAGGAAGAAGAAGACGCGATGCTCGGGTATGAGGTTTTGACTGTCTTGACTATGGTTTGCTGACAGCAGAGTAGGTGAACGGCCTGTATGCGGAACTTGCATCCAGAACAAGCATGAATGCGCCGGCTACGGCGACGACAATGGCGCAGGCGAAACCCCAAAGGATGGCAAAAAGGCAGCGAGAAGAGAGAGTACCGTGTCGACCAGCACGCCTTCCCGGAAGCAAGAGCCGCCCATCGACCCTCAGCTCACGCGACCGCATCTGCCGCATACCACATCGCAAACCTCGGAATTAAGTCTCCAGGCCTCGCCCAAAGTAGAATCAACTGGCAGCAGTGGAGGTTTGAGCTTGAGCACGCGCAACCGAATGCCATACTTCAGGTATTTCGGGCCTACAGCCATAGTACCCGGACTGCGACAGATGGTCGTCAAAGTGCGAGGCAAGCAACATGGCAGTGCCCAGACTACATCAGATCGTAAGTACATCCCGCGCGCGACGGACTTCAAGCTCTTGATGCGGTTATCGAGGAGCACTTGCGCCCTTGCAGCGCAAACACTCTCTTGCTGCTCTGCTGTATTCCCGTCTCATGTAGCTGACTGGTCCAGAACACGCAATCGAGTCCTCGCCTGCACAGCCATCAGTTGGCTCACCACCAGCGCCAGAAGCCCGCACGCCAGCCGAGATACCCGTATACGATGCCTCGTCAATGTCACCAAGTCCGCTCATCACCCATCTCTGTAAACTATTCTTCCTACACCTTGGCTGCTCTTTCCCCTTCCTACAAAGAGAGCGCTTTTTGCGAGACTTGGAAGAGAAGCAGGTGGATGCCATCCTCGTCGACGCTGTCTGTGCGTTAGCGGCCCGATTCTCGACACATCCTATGCTGACAGGCAAGAGCGACCAACAGAAAGATGATGGAACGGAGACTCCAAAAGTCCCGCCTTCAGAACACGGCCAAGCCTTTGCCCAGCGAGCAAAATCAGCTATCCCAGATGCTTTTCCATGTCCTAGTGTGGCAGTGGTACAAGCTGCGTTGCTTCTTGCATACGATGAATTCGGTGCGAGCCGCGACAGTGGACTTTGGATGTATCTCGGTGTAGCCATTCGCATGGCGCAGGATCTAGGCATGCAGTCTGTGGGAGGTCTGAAGTACGAAGGTCGCAAGGGACCAACACCAAATTCCATTAAGAGCTACCCAGATGGCGGGCGGCACGCGGAGCAACCAACTATTCAAGATAGCCACGGGAGTAGTGCGGAGGAGCAAGAGCAAAGAGCCGCTGAGCGCGAGAGGTTAGATACTTTTTGGTCAATATTTTTCCTTGATCGCGTCATATCTTCTGGAACGGGACGGCCGGTCACCCTCCGAGATCGCGACATCGAAATCTCTTTCCCTTCCCTGGATGAGGTCGACTCTTCTGGATGGCCTTTGCCATATCCGGCACTGATCCGTATCATTCACCTCTACGGTCGTGTGACTGATCTCCTGAACCGGATAAGAAGCGCCGATGACATCACAGCTGACCTGCAGAAGCAACTCGGAGCATGGGAAGATCGCTTGACAGGCATCTACCAAAACCTGTCGCCTAAGCTTCACTTCAACGCAGTCAACTTCCAGCAATATGTCAAGCTCAATCAGGGAACGAATTTTCTTCTACTGCATTGCTGGTTCCACACTCTAATCGTTCTTTTGCATCAGCCAACGCTGCTCCGGACGTTCGAAGGAACTCCACAATCTTTGTCTACTAACAGCAGAGAACTTTCCATGTCTTCTGCCAAGACTGTCGCTGATATACTAGCCTTTACCGAGCTCATTGATGTAAAGACTGGAATTGGCAATCCCTTCACCAGGTATGATCAGGTTATGTCTTTACTGATGGTACCACACACTAACCAACCTTTAGTCAACCGATATACATAGCCGCGTGTGCCTTCCTTAAAGAAACGGCACTTCACTCAGCATCGTCCCAGCCTCAGTCTTGTCCTGCAAGCCCCGGTCGAAATGGGGAGAACGGACAAAAGACCTCTACTCAACATTCCCTTGACCGTCTGAATTCCACCAACAGCTCTGTCAAAGACCTGGAGCAAAAGCAAACAGCCGCTAAGCATACATTGCTTGCCTCTGCTGCCAACCAAAATTATCAACGTTGTTACCGCGCCCTCAAAGCCTTAGAAACATACTGGGCTGGAGTCAAGTACATTATGACTGTTTTGGATCAAAAGGCGAAAGGCGTTGGTGATCCTCTGCTGTACACAACCGAAGAGATGGAAAGTGCATTAGAAGCCCCTCGACCTGAGCCATCGTTCACCAGTCCAGGCTGGAGAAGGAAGCTTAGCTGGGGGACCTATCTGACAGCACAAAATTCAGATGCTGATGTAGCAAAGATGGCGGCTGCGATACGCAAGGGTGCGAGGACGCCAAATATGCCCGGCTCGCCAATGGTACACCCCAGCCAAGGTATGTTCCTTATGCACACAACCATGGCCACCTACTAACCCTCGACAGCCATCGGATGGTCGCTTACGGGTACTATGAACTCGCCTTCAACAAATGTCGCAGTTATGTACACATCCGAAAATGGTGAAGGTCGGAGCACGAAGCCACCACCTACAAAAGTACCTCCAGCCAGTACTCAGCCCTCCATCGCTTCGTTGATATCGGATCCTCCCATTAAATTCGAGCCACGTCACCAATCTCTACCGTCACCTTCCGCTTTCTCGCAGTTCAGCTCAGCGTCCATGCCACCGCCTCCGCCAAACCCATCTTTCAACCATATCCCTACCCCAGACCCGGTCTTGGTGTCAGATGCGGACCTCCTCTTAAATCTACACTCTCCGTTCTCTGGTGGCTCACCGTCAGCCATCAGAACGCCACTACAAAATCCAACGTCGTATACACGTTCATCTTCACAACAACACAACCAACTACATCCTACCCCTCAAACAGAATTCTCGCCCACTTTCGGAACTTTCAACACACCTTCAGACAACACTTTCGGTGATATGGTCATTGACACACAAGACGTCGATATGTCCCTTCTAGGCGCTGATATGATGCCTTGGGACTTGGAGTACTTACCACATGACATGCTTTATTTCGGCGATGGCGGCTTTGGAAATGGTGGATTTGCGGGTGATGGCGCGTCAGGGGATCATAATACGGGATAACGCTTTCGGCAACCATTACACAATGTACATTAGGGACAGACTTTTGTGGAGTCTTATATTTTTCAAGCCGGAATATCGGGGTTTTCCATTCAGGGAGGATTGGACTTGAGTGGAGTTTGATACCATTCTGCTTCTTACATGTATGAATTGAGATGAGAGAAAATTACTATATCAAGGCCTCGACGCAATAGTTTTGCTGCAATTTATTGACTTGATGTAACGGATGTCGGAGGTCCACATGTATCTTAATTCCCGATGATGCATAACTTGGAAAGGATTCAAGTTCTGGGGCCTTTGTGTACGTCATGTGCTGAGGTCTTGCGTACTATGACAACAACCCAACGAGGTCGTCACCTGGAAATCGATCTGCGATAATGAGAGTAGTCTGAGCCAAGAATTTGCGTTTCTGGGAACAATAATGTCTTTTTCGTTGGGTTTTGCTGCTTGCGGCTGGCTCGAAGAAGATCTTGGATGAAAGACTGTAACACGATCGAACATGAAGCGCGTTGGGATCAAGTAAGGGTATTTGTGTCAAATCGAATCGAAGTATTTGGTATCCAAAGTAACCTTAGAGTACCCAATATTACCAGACGTGATCTAACCCATGCACACAGTCCAGCTCGTCCGAGTCTGCATGGTTGGTACCTGGAAATTTATCTACAAGAAACCACATAGAATGATCGTCATGGGCGTCTGTCTGCGTCGATTGTACCGTGGTACCCGTTGTCACTTCAGGAAAGTGTGGGTAATCGCTGAGATCAAGATACTGATTTGGGTCGAAGTGTTCCTGAGGCAACTCGTTATGGACACCGGTAGCGGACAAAGCAGCTATGCTGATAGAGTCGTAGCCCGAATCTGAAGAATCAGATATGGGATCGGTTATCTCAGGGACTCCTCCGCCCTGGCAAGAAATTTCGTAGATATGTAGTTGAGATGGGTTGACTTCTGATTTCGTTTGCAAATCTGTTGACACAGAGTCGCCGAGCGTGGTGGGTAGATGCGTATCAGTAGGGTGCTCAATGACTTGCTCCGACAGTATAGCTCTCGAGCTTGGAGTGACTTCTGCCCTCGTATTGCTTGACCCGGCGGCTGTTTGGAACATCGTCTCGAGCTGCATCTGGCATTGCCTGACAATGTCCACTAGTCGTTCCTTTAGCCTGTCCTCTAGTGGTTGGGCCTCATGTTCTATTATACTCTCTAGTGTACGCCGAACGAGACGCGGAAGCTCGAGACGCGAGAACTCTTGGAAACGGGTGCTGCTTGATGACTCGGCTGCGC